ACCTTTTTCACTCAGTCCCCCAACCAACCTCTCCTCTGGCTACTGTCAGTCTGTTCTCTATATCTGTGAGTCTGTTTCAATTTTGTTTGCTCATTTATTTTGTTCTTTAGATTCCATATATAAGTGAAATCATGTGGTATTTGTCTTTGTCTGACTTATTTTACTTAGCATAATACACTAGGTCCATTCATATTTTGGCAAATGGTAAGATTTCATTAATTTTTATGGTTGAGTAATATTCCATTGTATATATGTACCACATCTTTATCCATTCATCCTTTGATTGGAATATTCCATTTACATTTAAAGTAATTCTTGCTAGGTATGTTGTTATTGCCATTTCATTAATTGTTTTCTGATTGTTTTTGTAGTTCTCTGTTACTTATTCTCTTCCTATCTTCTCTGGTATGTTGATGACTTTCTGTAGTGTTGTGTTTGAATTCCTTTGTCTTTACTTCTTGTATATCTCTTCTAGATTTTGGGGTTGTGGTTACCATGTGCTTCATATATACCAAGCTATGCTTATAGCAGTCTATTTTAAGGTGATGGCCTAAGTTTGAACACATTCTAAAATCACTACCATTTTTACTCCCTCCACATTTATGGTTTTGACATTTTTTACTTCGCGTGTGTGTGTGTGTGTGTGTGTGTGTGTGTGTGTATTTGTGTGTAATTATACATGATCTTCCTACTTTTGCCTTTTAACCTTTGTACTGGCTTTAGTGTTGGTTGATGCACTGCTTTTATTATGTGTTTGCCTTTGTCAGTGAGAAGTTTTCTTTTGCATTGTTTTCTTACGCATAATTTTAATTTTTTTCTTCCTGTTCTTAAAGAAATCTCTTGAACAGTTCTTGTAATACTGGTTTGGTAGAGATAAACTCCTTCAGGTTTTTCTTGTCTGGGAAGTTCTTTCTCTCTCCTTTGGTTCTAAATTATAGCCTTGCTGGGTAGAGTAATCTTGGTAAGTCCTTGCTTTTCATCACTTTGATTATTTCATGCCAATCCCTTCTGGCCTGCAAAGTTTCTTTTGAGAAATTGGTCTTATGGGAGCTCCCTTATAGGTAACTAACTGCTTTTCTCTTGCTACTTTTGAGATTCTTTCTTTGTCTCTAAATGTTGGCATTTTAATTATGCTGTGTCTTGGTGTGGCCCTTTTGGGGTTCATGTTGTTTGGGACTCCCTGCACTTCCTGGACTTGTATGTCTGTTTCCTTCACCAGATTAGGGAAGTTTTCCATCCTTGTTTCTTCAAATAGGTTTTCAATCCCTAGCTCGCTCTCTTCTCCTTTTGGTATCCCCATGATGTGAATGTTGTTATGCTTGATGTTGTCCTAGAGGTTCCTTAAACTGTCCTCATGTTTTTGGATTCTTTTTTTTTTCTATTCTGATTGGGTCTTTTCTGCTACCTACTTTTTCAAATCGCTGAATTGATCCTTTGCTTCATCTAGTCTGATGTTGATTCCATTTAAAGTAGTCTTTATTTCAGTTATTTCTTAATTTCTGACTGGTTACTTTTTGTTTTTGATATCTTTGTTAAAGCTCTCACTGAGATCCTCTATTCTTCCCCTAAGTTCATTGAGCATCCTTATAACCTGTGTTTTGAACTCTGCATCTGGCAGATTGTGTGTCTCCATTACGTTTAGTTCTTATTTCTTTCTTTTTTTTTTGAACTTTCTCCTGTTTTTTTCTTTGGGACATGTTTCTTTGTCTCATTTTGGCTGTCTCCCTGTGTTTGTTTGTGTGTATCAGGTAGAACTACTACCTCTCCCAGTCTTGGCTTAATGTAGCCCATGTCCTGTGGGACCCAGTGGTGCAACCTCCCTGTTTACCTGAACTGGGTGCCCCAGGGGTTCCCCTGGGTCAGTTGTGTGTGTCCTCCTATTGTAGTTGAGCCTTGATTGCTGTTGGCACATCAATGGATAGAGTTGGCCCTCAGGCTGACTGGCTGTGAGGACTGGCTGTGATTGGGGCAGTCAAGCTGTTGTGGGGGGTTGACCTCAGGATTTGCTTTAGTGGGGCTCTGGTGCTCACTGAGTCCTCCCTTTGGGTGTATCGTTTGTGGCACTAATTGGGTGGTCATCTGGTGTGGTTTGAAGTTGGCCACCAGGTGTGTGGGTTCTGGGGCCTCTTGGGCAGGGCTCTGGTGCAGGCCTACATCAGGTACTGCCTTGTATCTGGCCTAGGGCCACCTGGCAAGGAGAAGGGCACACGTTGATCCTGGGAAATGGAAGTCTTGGTGTGGGATTTTGTTCCTGAATACCTTATTAGGACGACTCACCTCAGTTAGCTTTTCTCTGCCCCAAAAGTTATGGAAGATAAGGAATATGGCCCAGCTATACCAAAGAAGTTGATGGAGAAAGTTTCTGAAGGTGAAGGAAATGAATTAAAATGTTAACATATATATAAAATATTTTATAAGGCAGTAAACACTATAGGGATGATTTTGCTGGTTGATAAGTTTAGTTATAGATCCAGAAACACTCAGAACTTATTGCTTATACTCGTTTCCTTTATAGTTGCCCATTTGATAATGCTTTGTGGTGTCAAAAAGAAAGTTACATGAGCTGCTCATTGCGTAGCCTTTTCTGTCTTTGTGAGGGGGGAGAATGTACTGTTCAGATGTCCCTGTCAAGGTTCCTCTGAATTATAAGGCTATGTTTTTGAACCTCACTGAAGATTTAGAAGAAAATATTCTTTCCGTACAGAAATCCTTACTTGATGTAAGTATAAAATATTTATTTTGTTATTTTTTCCCTGTGTAGTGTGTGGGGGTAATCTTTTTCCTTAAAGCAGTGATACATAATTATAGACAAAATAGGTTGGACTATTTTAAAAGACCTCATAGATTTTTTTTTCTTAGTGAATTTTGTGTTTGTAAAATCACTTTGTTATAATATTCTAATATGTTGATATGTCTGTTTTTTTTTTTTTTTTTTTTTTTTTAATCCTCACCCAAGGATATTTTTCCATTGATTTTTAGAGAGAGTGGAAGGGAGGAAGAGTGGGGGGGAGAGAGACTGAGAGAGAGAGAAACATTGATATGAGAGAGACACATCGATTGTTTGTCTCCCACATGTGCCCTGACCAGGGTCGGAAATCGAACCTACAATCCAGGTGCATGACCATGACTGGGAATTGAATCGGTGACCATTTGGTTTGAGGGTTGACACTCTAACTACTACTAAGCCACACCGGCCAGGGCTCTTCTGTTTTATTTTTAGTGTTGTTTCTTATTCTTTATATCTTTGGGTCAACTCTAATATGGCTAAGTCTCCAAGTGATTATTTAGTTACCCTGCAGAGCAGGTGGCCAATAAATCAAGGCCTGACTTGTTTATAATAGTACTAAATGAATTTTGAGATAAAGATGACTTGTCATTGAATAGAAGATTTTTCTTGTTTCATTTGTAAAGAACCAAACAGATTGAGAAAAACTTTTAAAAGTAATCATCCAGTGAATATCAGAAATATATGAGGGAGTGAGGCAGTATCTCCCCCTCCCCACCTCACACACCTGCTTTGCATTCCCAAATTTGACTTCACCAGAACTAAGTTAACAATTGGAGCATACCTTTCAGAGCTTTCTGAAATATTTGTTTGTTTTTCCCTAAATCCTCACCCAAGGATATTTTTCCACTTATCTTCAGATAGAGTGTGAGGGAGGAAGGAGGAGAAATAGAGAGACAGACAGACAGACAGACAGACAGACAGACATTGACCAGGGCCGGGGACTGAACCACAACTGAGGTATGTGCCCTTGACCAGAATTGAACCCGTGACTCTTTGGTCCGCGGGCCAGCGCTCTAGCAGCTGTGCCAAACCGGCCAGGGCTAAAATATATTTTTATTTAACTTTTACCATATGTATTTTGTTTATGAAAGTTTTTTATTATAAATGTAATACTCAGATATGTTTTATAACTACACTTTATTTTTTATTATAATCATAAAATGGGAAAAAATCTGTCATAGACTTAGAAGTGTCTTATTTTCTTCCTCCAAGGTTTTGCACAGAGTATTTACTATCTTTAAAATGCACTCACTACATAATTTATTTGATTGATTTATGTACTGTGGAGCGTCTCAGTCAACTTGTTAATGAGACGTGATGATAAACAGTCTTCCTACTATTTAGTAACATAATATTTGAATCTGTTACAGTTATTTTGGGATTTGATATCGTATTGGGATTTGAGGAAAAGCATTTACTGATATTAAAATTTAACAAATTAGACCATTCATCTCTGTATCAGTTTATCTTGAAACTTGAAATGAATGTATTCCCTCTGTAGTTTTTATAGTCAGAATGCTAAATTTGTGAGTTTTCTGGAAGAAAAGTTGTGGAGAGTGAAGCCAAATGCTTCTATTGTCAGTTTTTGAGCTATGCTTTTGAGAAAACGGAATCTCACCCTTTTTCCATTCAGCTGGTTCCCAACAGCCGAGTGTTTGGTATCTTTCCCACTGGAATTGGAGGGCTGTCTGCTAATCCCCCCCCCCCGCAGTTTTGTGTCACATCACTGGAGCTCTTAAGGGCTTCTAGGCCACCTGCTGCTCTGCCGTTCTCACCACCTGGGCAAAGGATCTGGCTCTTCAGATTCTGTGGGGGAGCCTGATGATCAAGTTCCCAGGTCTGGTTTCTGGCAGAACAGGATTCTGAGACTCACGCCCACCCTGTGAGAACAAAAGACAGTGATTGTACCATTCATTAAAACTTGCTGTGTTTCCAGAAAGAAGTTTTAAAATTCTATTGTAACGTATGTGTATTTAAATCCAAGACCTTTGTAGGGGGGCGGGGAGCCTTCTAATATAAATCCTGAAATTACCTATCCCCCTTTCCCCAAGTGAAATGATGAACATAGTTGGTGTGGCATTGAAGACATTTATTAAAAGTAGAAATTGGAAACTTCTTCGACTGCCCGAGTCAGTTACTCGTTGCGAGACCCTGTTGGTTTGGCATCTTGTTTTCATGTCGGGGTGCTGTTGACCTGACTCTCCCGTCTCAGTTGCAGCGGTTACTCACAGACCTGCCTCACGACATGCTGGACGATGACCTGTCCTCCCCCGAGCTCTGCCTTTCGGACGGCAGTGAGGACGACACAGAGGGAGGGTAAGGACGTGATCACTTCCCTTTGTATATTAGAGTTCTATGAGTATCCGTCTTTTGATTCTCTGCAGGTAAGAATAATGTATGTGATTATAAAACTGTGGACTGATTCTTAATGTTGTAGGTGAAGGTTGGAGGGAAACCATGTTAAAATCTTTGTGCTATCTATGTCCAAATAAATGATAGGCTCTAAATGTAAAGTGTTAATTTCTCTCAAGACCTCATCATTCTGAGCAGTCGGAGATACACTGGAATGACCACCCGGTGCTGCCTAAATCTAAAAGTGTAAGTGTGAGTATCTGGTGGGACAATGGTTTGATGAGGGTGGGACTAGATCTGAGCGCTTTTGTCTTACTCTTGCTGTCTGATAGGACCATAATGAGATTCGGGATATATATGTTGGAGAGAAGATTGGCAATGTCTGGGATGAGAACCCTAGTAAGGCTGAAGACCAGCATCCGGGGTACCATCCCGAAGAGGGTGGAGATGAAGGCAGAAGGAATTATAGTCCTCCAAGTAAATATGAACAGACTGATTTGTATCACCTTCCCGAAGACTTTAGGCCGTACACCAGTGGTCAGAAGCAGGAATTTAATAACCAAACAGCCAATGTAATTAAATTTTCAGATCCTCAAAGGAATCATTTTCAGGTATTGTAAGAACTTGACTTTCAAGAATTTGCTTATATGTATTCCCACACAGATGTGTGTGTTTAAGAAATGTATATTAAGGGCAATGGTGAGATTTATTTTAATTATAAAAATTCCTGAGAGTGCATTTATTCTGGCTCCTGCTGAATTAGTCACGCTGTTTTCTGTTTACAATCTAATGAAATCATGGTCTTAAGTCAGAATTTTAAAATAGAAGCTTTATTAAAGGAGACAGTTAATTAAACATTAAAAATAAAGTTTGTTGAAGAATAACCACCATCATTTACTGCTGCTATTGATTTCTACCATGTTATTAAGCTTCATTGAGAAGTGATGTTCAGGTATCTTGATATAGTTTTAAAGCCGTTGAATCTATGTAGATGACATCATTTAATTACCATGATTTTTCTAGTTCACCACCCTTATAACAAATTTTAAGTCAAACACTTCAAAACTGACCTCTGTTTTGTGATGATATAGCTTTAGACAGGATGACTGTTCAGGAAAGAAACACCTTTTATTTTAAACCCTGGCAGAGTTGAATGAAGTAAGTTAAGGCCTTAGGATACAGTTAGCTGTTCCTTAGACTTTCTTTTTTTTGGTGGTTAATCCTAACCCAAGGATTTTTTTTCCATTGAGTTTTTGAGAGAGTGGGAGGGAGAGGGAGGGAGAGAGACAGACAGAAATATTAATGTGAGAGAGACACATCGATTGGTTGCCTCCTGCACACGCCCTGACCAGGGCTGGGGATTGAACCTGCAACCCAGGTCCATGCCCTTGAGTGGGAATGGAACCTGCAGCCCTTCGGTGTGCAGGCCAGCGCTCTGTCCACTGAGCCACCGGCCAGGGCTCTCAGACTTTCTTCATAACAATGAATTCCTCATTTTGCTAATAGCTATTTTGTGCCACCCAATGACAGGATAATGTTTTTTCTTTTAAAGTGGTCATTTTCTTTTCTATCTCTGTAGAATGGTATTCATTCCAAAAATGTTACTGAATATTTATTACATAGGAAGCATTATATCACATGCTTTTGTTATTGAATATGTATATTTTTATGTTCCTAAGAGGTTGGCATCATTGAAATCATTTTTAAGTATTTCTTTTTCTTTTTATCCTCACCTGAGGATGTGCTTTTATTTCATTGAGTGAGGAAACATCAATCGGTTGCCTCCTGTATGTGCCCCGACTGGGAATCGAACCCATAAACTAGGTATGTACCCTGACCAAGAATTGAACCCACACAACCTTTTGGTGTACAGGATGATGCTCCAACCAACTGAGCCACCTAGCCAGGGCAGATCATTCTTGAGTATATCTATATAGTCTTATTGGAATTCTTGAGTATTATTTAAGGAGTTGGCTCATTGTATATGCTCAAAAATATAATTAAGATGTGTGAAATTAACTCTGCTGGTGTGGCTCAGTGGTTGAGCGTTGACCCATGCACCAAGAGGTCACTGGTTCGATTCCCAGTCCCGGCACATGCCCAGGTTGGGGGCTTGATCCCCCTAGGGGACTAGCAGGAGGCAGCCAATCGGTGCTCTCTCTCATCGATGTTTCTATCTCTCGCTCCCTCTCCCTTCCTCTCTCTTGAAAATCAATTAAGAAATAAAAAAGATGTGTGAAATATTTGCAGACTTTCAGTATAGCAGTGTTAAATAACAAGTTACTTTAAAGCAGAGATGTGTATATAATTTTGTATAAAGTATATAATTACATACAACTTTGTAAGTTCTGAACAAAATTATGGTGTCTAATTCAGATAATTTTTGAGGAAAAGACCAAATCCTAACTGTCACTTTCCTTTATCATCTTATAATAGCAGTTTGGGAGGTCACAAGGTCCCAGTTGTCAAGTGCTGGAACCATATACAGTGGCATATAAACCTTACCAGTCCCCTGCGCAGAACAGCGACCCACCAGCCCAAGAGATAGCGGGGGGTGACACATTTGAAGGCCTGCAACAGCAATTTCTGGGGGCTAACGAAAGTATGTATCAAGTTTATATTTATTTTTTAATACATGATTGGAGAATTGTAAACACTTTAAGCATGTTCAAAAATTACTACTTTTTAAAGTATGGTCATTGAATTGTGGTTGGTTTTTTAAAAGAACCCTTATTGACAGAGATATCTCTTGAAGAATTTACGAGGAGACTGAGATAACGTCTAGGATTTGCTTCCAATGATGTGGTGTTGGGGATGCTGTTGGGTGGGGATAGATACGGAGCAAGACTGGCTGTGAGGTCATACTTGTTGAACCTGGGTGATGACTTTGTGGGATTCACTGTGCGCTTTTCTCTACCTTCTTCTAAATTTGAAGTTTTTAATAATAAAAAACTAAAATAAAATTTTCTTTTTTTATCCTCACCCGAGGACATTTTTGCATTTATCTTCAAATAGAGCAGGAGGGAGAGGGGGAGGGGGAGAGAGAGAGAAACATCGATGTGAGAGAGACACATGGACTGGTTGCTGCCCACACTACCCCAACCGGGGCTGGGACGAACTGCAATCGAGGTACTACATGCTGTTAGAGGAAACCGAACCCGCGACTGTCTGGTCCGTGGGCCGACGCTCTAACCCCTGAGCCAAACTGGCTAGGACAAATAAAATTTTCTTGACTGTACATTTGAGTCATTACAGTTGGTTGACTTTTCATTAGCTTTATATTTTTCTAACTGAAGTCTAATTTGTAAAATGAAATATAATTTTTCCCTTTAATCCTAGATTTTTCATTATATAAAAATGTAATTTAGCCCTGGCTGGTTTGGCTCAGCTGTTAGAACTTCGACCTGCGGTCCAGAGAGACCCGGGTTTGGTTCCCGCTAAGGACACATACCTTGGTTGCAGTTTGTCCCCGGCCTTGGTTGGTCATGCGGGTGGCAGCCACTCGATGTGTCCCTTTCACGTCGATGGTTCTCTCTCTCTCTCTCTCTCTCTCTCTCTCTCTCTCTCTCTGTTTCTCTCTCTCCCTCCCACTTTGCCTGATCAAGAAATGGAAAAATGTCCTCAGGTGAGGATAAAAAAAGAAAGAAAAAAGTGTAATTTAGTAAATCAGTCATTATTATCTTATTTTTTTCTTTTTGTTTCACTTCCTTTATTTTTTATTTTGTTAACCCTCACCTGAGGATATTTTTTTCCATTGATTGTTTTTTTAGAGAGAGAAGAAGGGGAAGGGAGGATGGGGAGAGAGAAGGAGAGAGAGAGAAACCTTGACTGGTTGCTTTCCAAAAGTACCCCAACCAGGCTGGGGATCGAACCTGCAACCAAGGTACATGCCCTTGACCAGGAATTGAACCCACAACCCTTAGGTGTGCGGGCTGATGCACATGGGCCAGGGCTTTTGCTCTTTACAGTTTTAGTGTAATAACTAGACAACTCTGACTTAAATTACTTCATGTTCAGAATTTAAGCTGGACTCCTATCTCAGGTTTAGTGGCACTTGCCAACTTTTTTTGGGATTGTACATGTATAAACCTGAGAATGAGAAAAGTGCTACTAGAGAATTTTGAGGAGATAAAACACTCAAAACCAAAAATCAAAACCTGTGCTCTGACTAACCTGAATTAGTATTTTCATACCAACTTTCACTGTCTATTCTCTGACATGTGAGATGACTTCTAATTACCGTGCATGTTGAAGCATCAGTGTGATTCCAGAGTGTGACAGCAAGTTTTTTCTTCATTTGTTGCAAGTTGAAGAACGGAGGAGAGTCACATGGGACAGTCTGCGTTTCCTGGGCTGTGCCAAACTGAAACCCAGACTTGACGCTCTGACTTCACAGCCCCGCTCCCGTGTGTGCGGGGGCTGCGGGGCGCACATGCCCACAGAGCCAGAGCAGATGCAGGGTGGCCTCTGTTTCTGTCCCTGTGGAGTGAGGATGAGGAAGGAAGGCTGTGTGTTCGGCAGGACGGGCTTGCTGTGCAAATAAGCACCTCCACGGGGCGCGGCCTTGGTATCAGCTCTTTCGATTCTTGTTCCATTGGTCGCTCTGTGTACATAACCTTTTATCCTTTTCTTAATCTGCATTTTATCAAGTTGATTTATTTGTTGTTTAAGTCACTTTTGACACATTTGCCTAAATTTGACATTTGGAAGTTAATTGAGTAGTTGAACAGCAGTGCCTGATTTAGTGATTGCAGCTTCTTAACAACAGCAGTGTAAACAATGAATGATTTTGGAGAGAGGTGTGGCTGGCGCACTGCTTATTCCCGCCAGCCCTGTTCTGAGGCCGGAGAAGATTTTGACTTGTAACCAAGTTTTCAGTCTTCAGTTTTTATTTTATTTTATTTTTATTATTTTTATCCTCACCCGAGGACATTTTTCCATTTTTCACTCATAGAGCGGGAAGGAGAGAGAGGAAGAGAGAGAAACATCGATGTGAAAGGAACACATCGAGTGGCCGCCACCCACACGACCCAACCAGGGCTGGGGACAAACTGCAGCCAAGGTACATGCCCTTAGCGGGAACCGAACCTGGGTCTCTGTGGACTGCAGGCCGACACTCTAACCGCTGAGCCAAACCGGCCAGGGCAGTTTTGTTTTGTTTTGTTTTTAACCATATCTCTTTTTAAAAAAGAAGCCTGCTTTGTTTGCTAGGAAGTAGGAGCATTGATTTAGTAGAAAATGAATATTTGTCGTAGTGTAGTTAAAGCATTATCCTTCTCTGATGAATCACCTTTTTTCGTCCGCCCCCCCCCCCCAGTCATCTTGAAGTGGTCCCTAAAATGACTTTAATCATTTATGATAAAAGACCTCAGAATCCTTTATTAACCTTCACTACTTTATTAATTTAGCAGTTATGTACCAGCATAAATATGAATACAGTGAAATATTTTGAGGAGGATATCTAAAAAATTTTAAAAATTGGTTTTATGGAAGCTGATAAACTTATTTTTCAGTTTTATGCGAGCATCAAACTCCATTCCATTGTAACTGGTGTCTGTAAGAAACATGCAAGCCCATAGAGCATCTTTTTGAGTTTGTCTGAGCCAAACTGATGACATGGGGAACATATGTTGTCACGTGCTCTGGAGACAGGCAGTCTGAAGCTTATTTTACACGATAGAATCAAAGGAGACGTCGTGAGGAAGGTGCATGGAATCCACTGCTGGCAGATCGAGGGGCGGGAGCAAGCATAGCAGGGAAATCTCCTGGATCGGGCGGAGGCGAAATGGAGAAACACACACTTACTTGTACCTTGGTGGGTCCAGGGTAGTGCATTAACATTCACAACACACAGATGGTGAGTGGGGAACAAGATAGCAGTGAGGGGTTCATCCCACGCTCTGGTTCTCTCAATTGTGCCTTCGAGGGGCAGGAAAAGAAAATCACTCTGATATGTCAAAGGTGTGTCGTCCTGGATGCGTGAGAACAATGGGCAGGGCTCCCGTAAGGTAAAGATCAACCTTCAGTGACGATGCCACAGGCCTGGGACGTGACTACCTGCCAAGACCTGCCCAGTTAGGGATTTGTATCGAGACCATCCTGTGTGGTTAGTTATGGTCACAGAGCTGGTCAGGCCTGCCATGTGACCCCTGAGCTTGTCAGGTTTATTACAGAGCCCCCTTGTTTGTTCACATTGGTATATATTTATTTTTAATTAGCCAAAGTGGTAGTGATGAAGGGTTATACTCTAAACCAGTGAATATTTAATTTTTTCTGGCAGTGACCACAATAAGAAGTACATTTTTTGTTGTTGTTGTTAATCCTCAACCAAGGATATTTTTTTCCATTGATTTTTAGAGAGAGTGGCCAGGCAGGTGGGGAGACATCTATGTGAGAAAGGCACATCGATTGGTTGCCTCCTGCACACACCCTGACTGGGGCCGGGTACGTGCCCTCAACCAGGAGTGGAACCCATGACCTTTCCATGCTCAGGCCAGCTCTCTAACCACTGAGCACACCTGCCGCGAAGAAGTACATTTTTGTACACTGTGATGCAGTCTCCAGGATGTATCTATCTAAATAAGTGTGTATAGCTAAAACAGTAGTTCCACAAAATAATATTCTTTGTACTACATGGTGCACTGTGATATGTTCCATTATATTCTATCTTTCTTATTTTTTTAAGAAATGCTAGTCACAGTCCACCAAATTGTTTTCATGATGCTGTAATGAGTTGTATTCATAGTCTGAAAAACACTGCCCTAAATGACCGCAGATTTCTATTTTGGTATGCTAACTTCTAATAAATTGTCTTTAATTCCAAATCAGATTCTGCAGAAAATATTCAGATTATTCAACTTCAGGTTCTTAACAAAGCAAAAGAGAGACAATTAGAAACTTTAGTTGAAAAGTTGAATGAAAGTGAGCACCAAATCAGATATCTGAATCACCAGCTTCTGATAATCAAAGGTAAGATAACAGCTGTTGTTTATGAGGTATGTTAGAGCTAAATGTCATTTCCAAGAACCTCAGTCAAAAAATATATTTTTAAATCCCAAGAATATGCTTATTAATTTTTTTAGAGAGGGGAAGATGGGGGGAGAGGGAGAGAGAGAGAAACATTATGCAAGAAAGAAGATTGATTGGTTGCATTCTCTCCGTGCCCTGACTGGGGATTGAACCTGCCACCTTTTGGTGTATGGGATAACACTCCAACTGAGTCACACCAGCCAGGACCCAAGAACCTCATTTTATTTGTTTATTTTTTTTAAATCCTCACCCGAGGATATTTTCCCATTTATTTTCAGACAGAGTGGGGTGGGGAGAAACATTGATGTGAGAGACATGTTGATTGGCTGCCTCCTGCATGACCTCGACCAGGGCTGGGGACTGAACTGCAACCGAGGTACATACCCTTGACTGGAATCGAACCCGAGACTCTTTGGTCCGAGGGCCGATGCTCTAATCGCTGAGCCAAACCGGCCAGGGCAGAACCTCATTTTAAATATGTAGCTTAGAGAGTTGATGAACTTGGTTAGAGGGATCATGTAGTGAGTCAGTCAGAAGGAAATAAAACCCAGGACTTTTGACACCTTCCCTTGCATTCCTTCTCTCCAGAACATACGATTTTGAGGTCCTCATCTTCTCCCCTTTCTTCCTCCTCATCTTTCTGTTAGGCTCTTAGAATAACTGAACAATATTTAACTAGGCTGATAGTATCCTGTCCTAAAATGTTGTTGATTAATTTGTCTTGAATGAAGTATTACAATTCCCAGAGAGACTTGTGTTTAGTTGACAAGACATTTTCTGAGCTTACAAAGTAGCGTAATGTTTCAGTCCAAGTAAGAGTCAGTGACGTTGAACTTCAAGTGGGCCAGGGAGAAAATGCAGCCATACACGGGAGAAGCACACAGAGTAAATACAGGTTCAGATTATAGTTGTGCACTCGTCATGTTTTCTGTGGTTTTGGTCATCTTGAACTTTCATCTACAGAATAATTCTGTGACTGCATTTCAGCTCATTTCAGATGTAATAGATGGGGATAAAGGTGTCTTTCTGTGACGATCACAAACTTTATTTTGAGAGAACTTGTGGGCTGTCATATAAAGTGTGTGGGAAGAATTTAAGGTTAGGTGAATTTAAGAGTTCATTGCAAGTATGTATAGAAAGTAATTCGTCCTCAGATTCCTTTTTTGATGAGCAGAGGTTTGTCACATTTATGTAGCTTCTCAAGTAAACTGATGCTGAAGCCGTTGTTAGGAACTTGTTTGGTTCCCAAAGGGATACAGTCAAATTTCTGAAGGAAGTGGTCCTGGTTTTCTAAATTTTTTGGTGTCATGCGGGCATTCTTTTTTGGATCTGTTTTAGTTTTCTCTACATCAACTGAAGTTCATTATCTGAATTAAATAGAATGCAATGACCTTTATATGTGATATAGATCTGATATTTGATAGAGATTGTGACAATTGGGGTCCCTTTACAGTAACATATTATCTCTGTACACATTTTTAATGTTCCAGATGAAAAGGATGGTTTGACACTCAGCCTTCGAGAATCACAGAAACTCTTTCAGAATGGAAAAGAAAGAGAGTTACAGCTTGAAGCACAAATAAAAGCACTGGAGACCCAAATACAAGCACTAAAAGTCAACGAAGAACAGGTCAATATTTTATCTTAACTGTTTATGGTGAAAAGTGATTTACTTTTACCATAAATGAAGAGTTTAGTTACTTAGGTTTTGGTGTGGTAGGACGACATTTAGAAGAACTCTGAAGTTCGTGCCTTCTTCCAGGGCAGGCCTGCGGCTCTGGTCCTGCCTGGAGGAACGGGCCTCCCCCCCGCCCAGTCCTCTGGACACCAGAAATCTGGAGGAGGCCTCAGCTCCTCTGTTCCCTCCATCTGCTCCATTCTGTCGAGTCTCCTCATTTCTGTTCCTAAGTCCCTAATTTGGGATTCTGTCATCTATCGCAAATCTCTTCTGGCCATCTGGTTAAGCTTTCTAAAATACAGTTCTGATTATGTCTTTCCCCTGCTTAAAGCTTTTCGATGACCCTACTTTATCTGTGGGGCGAAGTGTGGCATCAAGATGACCGTCTGATCCTTGCCTATCCCTTCTCTGATTCTCCTCACCCTAAAGTTTCTTGTCTTATGTCATTTTTGTGCACAAAACTTCCACGGCACAGTGCTATTTGATTGAAGGCCCTGCTCACGGTTTTCCTTTCCCAAGTGTCTTCTGCTTTCCTCCCAAACCAACACCAAGCAGTTCTCAGCTACCAGCCAGGTGTCCAAGAATTCCTCGGCACTGACCCAGCCACACCGACTTCAGACACCAGTTGTAATCGAGGTTGTCACCTGTACTCTGACTGGCTGTAAACCAGAGGTTCCCTCGACCCTCTCCTTGGGTCCCATTAACTTGCTAGTGGGGCTCACAGAACCCAGAGAAACATATTACCTACGACCACTGGCTTATTAGAAAAGGATACAACTCAGGAACGGCCAGACGGCAGAGATGCATGGAGCAGTGTGGGGGGAGCGCGGAGCTCCCGTGCCCTCCTGGATGCGTCGCTCGCCCTGCGTGTCCAGGTGTCCACCAACCCACAAGCTCTCTCAAACTGGCCCTTTTGTTTTTTTCTTCCTTTTTTTCTTTATTGATTTTTAGAGAGAAGAAGAGAGAGGGAGAGAGAGAGAGAGAAACATCGATGAGAGAGAACATTGATTGGCCTCCTCCTGCATGCCCCCCCCCCCCCATTGGGGATTTGGCCCACAACCTGGGCATGTGTTCTGACCAGGAATCTAACTGGTGACCTCTTGGTGCATGGGTCAAAGCTCAACCACTGAGCTACAGCAGCCGGGCTCCTTTCGTTTTTTTATGGAGGCTTCATTGCACAGCATGGTTGATTAAATCTTTGGTCACTAGTGGTTAATTCAACCTCTAGCCTCCTCTCCCTTCCCTGGAGGTCAGGGGATGGGACTGAAGTTCTAACACTCTAATCCCATGGTTGGCTCCATTGGCCACCAGTCCACTGTGGTTCCCCCCCTTCCTTAGGTGAAATGTCAACCTCATTCACATAACAAAAGACACATTTTAGCACTCTCAACACTTAGGAAATTCCCCGAGTTTGGAAGCTGTGAGCCAGGACTGCAGATGAAGACCAAATATGTCATTTGAATGACCAAATAACATTTCTGAGAACTCACAATACTGCAGTAGATTATGAGCATTAACATTTTTTTGAAAACAGATAATGTTATTAGGTTAAAATATTGAATTCCTTTTATGTAATAAAAGCTCATCACTTTGTAATCTTCTGAGTTAGAAATTACATTTATCAAAAATAAAGTAATATAAATAAAAGCATAAAGTAAAAGCAACTAACAGAATCACTAAGTTTTTTGGTTTCCGTTTGCTGCTATAACATATTACCAAAAATGTGGTGGTTTAAAACAACACAGATTATTATTTTACAGTTTGGAGGTCAGAAAGCTGACATGGGTCTGAGTGGGCTAAAACTAAGGTGTGAATAGGGCTGTGTTGCTGAGAGAATCCCTCTTCTTGCCTTTTCCAGCTTCCAGAGGCTACACGTATTTGTTGGTTTATGGCCCGTTTCCATCCTCAGAGCCAGAAGTCACTGGTTCTGACTCTAATGCCTTTGTTTTCCTCATTTAAGTACCAGTGTGGATATACTGGGCCCACCTGGATAATCTACTTATTTTAAGGTCATCTGATTAGTAACTTCAGTTTGGTCCACAACCTCAATTTTCTCTTGCTATGTCATATAAGATATTCACAAGTTTTAGGGATCAGGACATGGACATCTTTTGGGAGCCAGTGTTTAGCTTATTATACCATTTTGCAACTGTACAATTATAGCTTTCAGAACTTTGTTTTAAGTAAGTGACCACTGACAGCTTCCATCAGTCTTTCGAGAAACAACTGTCATTTCTCTGTGACCTAACAATTAGATTGGCCCCCACACTAGGCTCACAGAGCAATGCAAACAATGCCGGGACCATAGAGTAGCCCCAGATTCCTGGTCTGGTACCCACATTGCCAACTCGGTAATTACAGATTTATTTTTCCTCGGTGCATAAATGTTTGCAGTAACCATGGGCCTGGTGAGTCCCAAACAGGGAGGTCCTGAGACACTAGAGCCACCATGGGGAGACCCTTTCTTCTCTGTCATTAAAGCATGGTTGATTTTTAGAGTGGAAGTTCATAAAGAGCACAGAGTCAAATGCTGTCCACATGGGTGTCCTGGGTGTCTTTGCCAGGTGGTTAAGAAGTGCAGAACTACGGAAATGGCTCTGGAAAGCCTGAAGCAGCAGCTGCTGGACCTTCATCACTCCGAGTCCCTCCAGCGAGCGCGAGAGCAGCACGAGAGCATCGTCCTGGGCCTCACCAACAAGTACGAGGAGCAAGTGCTGTCCTTACAGAACAAGTTGGATGCTACGGTGGCGGCCCTGAAGGAACAGGTTGGGATGATTTCAAATGAGCAACTGTTACCAATACGTAAAGCTGGTTGTGTCTTGTAACAGACACTGTGTGGTTCTTCATATAGAAAATGTGGAGGTTTGCAGTAGGTTTTCAATTGTAAGTACAGCTTGAAAGGCAAAGATTTTTATTTATGAGTTCGCCCAGAGTCAGGCATGATTTTGGAAGTCCTCTTGCAGGGTGGATTCTCACAGTTCTAGTTGTTTACTTGTAGAGTCTTTATACGTATTGTTCATATTGTCTTCGAATAAACCCAGACAGAAGGGAATGAGAGTTCTGGGCGATGGCATGGGCGTGAGAGGTTGTCCTAGGAGCTTAGCGCTAGGAAGCCTTTCTTGGGCCTCCCAGCGTTTGGAAAGAAACTCATCAAGATCGTCTAGAAATGGTTCTTGAGAGAAGTGTTCATTTTGAGAATAGTATAATAAAATAAGGAAGGTTGTCTGATTTAAAATTATTGGAGTTGAAACTTGAGCATATTTCACAGTGTTTATGACTGTTGCCCCGAAGGGAATACAGTGTTGTAAGCTGTGGAAAGTCAGGTGGTGGTTTTGCTTATGCTCCAAAGCTCTAGGTAATCATGTCCCTGAATAAGATTTCACAGTGCATTTTTCTTAACGCAATTTCAGAATTAATTTAACCCAAAGGAAGAGAAGAAGAGACATAAGATGTGAGGACGTGGAAAATTCCACTACACTTAAAATTCTTCCTGATTTGGGTTCTTATTTCTTATACAGACAGCTGACTCCAGATTTTTCCATGATTTAGGTAGGGCGATTTAAGATGCATTATTGGTAATATAATTGTTTGTATAACATTTTATTTTATTTTTAAGTGTATTTGTATGAGTTTTTATTAGATTTATTTTCATGAATATGTGTTTATTCTCTTTATTTAGAAAATTATTGTAAATTTGATCAGGGTAGGGTGTATATAGAAGTGGGGAATGACAGGCTATGCCAAAGTTTTGAAAACTTACTTTCTATAATAAACAAACAAATGGATTTGAGATATAGTTTTATTAACTTTGGCCACGATTGGGTAATAGCATTAACGTTAGTTAGGCTTGGAGGATGGTCCTCCTTGGACGACGGGAGGAATGGAGTCTGGTTGCCTTTCCATCAAGGGCTACTTGAGGACCTCTCCACTCTCTGCTGACTAGACACAGTACAGGGAGGCCTGGGAAGAATTCCTGGTGTGTGCAACTCCTGAGCCCAGTCCCTTCTCCATTCCCACCACCCCACTCGGCCCCCTTCAGTAGAAGAACCCTAGACTGGAGCCCAGAACAAAGTCTTGGCTCTGTGCTGACTGGCTTCAGACTCCTGAACCATACGTTGAAGGTGCTGATCAAGGTCATTATTCCACTGTTACGTTCTGTGACTGTAGTTTAGCTTTAAACAGAGCACAGCACTGATGTAGGCCTCTGTATAACTGCACAACTGCTTTGCAAAGTGCTGATTGTTTTTCTTTCTGGGAGTGTTTCTCATGGTGTCCGTCTTGTGCTGTCCATTGGCCCTCGGTTGCCTCCGCAGTAGTTTTTGTGAAATGTCAATTCATATAATTTCAGAGTGGAAATTGAAATTCCTGGTTCTAGAGGTGCTGTAAAAAAGGAGCTAGGGAGATGCCTGCCTGTACCCTGAATAATGTGGGCGTGTCCTACACAGAGGGCGTTGGTTTAGATTTTCTCACGTAACCGTTCACCACACATACATCTCACATGCTACCCCTTGCCCTCATTTTCTTTATAAAAGCTTCTAGAGAGGGAGGTGTATTTTATTTCCCTTTCGGGTGAATATTTATCCACTGCACTCTATTCAGCAGATTACAAAGAAAAGTAAAACAAGCGTTGAAATGTAGTAGTAAGGTACAAATAACTGGATAACTCAGAGATGACCTTGAGTGCGTTTGCCGGTGTCTAGGTTCTGAGTGGCTCGCATGTAGCTACACACAACTGCCTGTGTGCTATGTGTCTGACGTGCACAGTGTTACCAGAGCAGATGTTCGCATGGAGGAAGTGTTCCTGGTTAGAAAGGTTCTTAACCTGGCGTCTGCCAGGGCAGTCGTGACCGGGCTCCAGAGGGGATGGGCGAGTCCTCTGAACTGTGGGGAAGAGGTCTCTTATCCAGACTCTCTAAGACGTTCACGCCTCCCCTTGCAAGAAGGTCGCAACCACTGCTTTATGAAAAACACATTCTTGGTGAGAAAGGACGACATTATATTATATTATCTCACCTGTTCAGCAAACCTTTCTTGAACAACAGCTAGGCATCAGGATGTAAACAGGCTTTATGTCTAATTATATTTTGAAAGACAAAATTCAACACGGGGACTGCCTAATTTAGCAATCCATGATACAGTTTTTTTTTTTTTTTTTTAAATGTCTGTGTAACTAGTATATTTTGAGAAATGTATGGCTTGTGAAACTATATTATTAATTTGGTGTTTTCCTTCAGCCCCCCGCTTCTCTGGGTAGGAAGAATAGTACGCACTCACAACGTAGTGTAATGGTTCTTTTTACTGTGGCTGAGTTCTCCCCGGTGTCTCAGTGTGACAGGGAGATGAGACCAGATGAGCTTCCTGGAGCTCGTCGTGTTCCTTCCGAACTCCTGAGAGCAAACTGTCTCCCAGACTCTCTGCTCCAAATCGCCTTCTCCGCCCATTCACAGCAGTGCCATGTTCCGAGATCTCTGGTTCTCTCTCCCCGACTCATAGAAGTGTTGTAGGGAGAGCTCTGTCCCCTTGATGGTATACAGCCTTTGTTCATTGGCCTGGAAACCTTCAGCTTTCGGTGAAGTCATGGACTTTGGTTTCTATGTCATGACCTTCACCTGATTTATTTCCTACCTTTCCTCTAAGGGTATATTTAAAGGCTCGACTTTTAAACACATTTTACTGGCCAAGGGACTCTCACAGACCTGTGTATGTGTGTGGCCTTCTCGTTTTTCTGTCCCCTGGAAACCTGTTCAATTTTATTTGCTTCCATGGATTCAGCTATTACTTTTTTAAAAAAATTCTCACCCGAGGATATTTTTCTATTTATCTTCAGATAGAGTAGGAGAGAGGGAGGGAGGGAGGGAGAGAGAGAGAGAAAGAGAGACACAAATCAACTGGTTGCCTCCCGTACAACCCCAACCATGGCCAGGGATGAACTGAACCGCAACTGAGTGCGTGCCCTTGACCAGGATCGAACCTGTGATTCATTGGTCCGCGGGCCGATGCTCTAACGTCTGAGCCAAACCGGCCAGGGTGCTGGTACTCTTTTATTACCACACTTGTCTCCCTCAGTCAGTCTTAAAAGATGTCTGTCTTTGTCTTGAATTGAGCTAATCATGGAAAAGATGGAACCAGTCATTTTGCTTTATTTGTTTTTGGTGTTTAAATTGCACAATTTTATGAGTATGATCTGTTTTCTTCAACTTGTCAGCAAGAAGCAGCATGGTCTAATTGATGGACGCTTGTAGTCAGATTTTGGCCCTGCTCTGCCTTCTGTTTACAATGTTTTCCATATCTACCTTTTTAAAATCAGTTCGCAGTTTCTTGTAAAATCTCTTAAGAAAGTCTCTGATGACCTCCCAGCACATACATGTCAGTTGTCTCTTCCCCCTCTCACACACACGTGCACGCTGGCATGCACGTAGCCCCTCTGTGTGCCGTGCCCCTCTGGTGTGCCGTGCCCCTCGTGTGCCGTGCCCCTCTGTGTGCCGTGCCCCGCGTGTGGAGCTGGCCTGGGTGAGCGGCAGTGCGCCCAGAGGCTGCAGCGCTGGATAAACACGGACCCGTTTCCTGGAGCTTCATTTTGCTCACGCATTCAGCGGAAAACATTTGAAGCAAGCATGGGTGCTTCTATGAAATAGAATATAAAATTCACATGGATTTTTAAGCTAAGACAGGGGACTTCAGCCAGAGTCCCTTTCCTCTGCTTAAGGATACAGTCAGCATCCTCATGAGGTGTGCTTCGGGTGGGTATCCTGAAGGCGTTGTTGGGCTTTAGGCTGTCCTGTGGGTCAGGCCCCAGATGCCTGCTTTCTGCTTTCTTGATAGTCCTCTTCCTATTTATTTCTTCAGGTGTTTTCAGGTAACTTGAACCAATGACCTTAATTGACTCCTCTGCCTCTCTCCTGCTCCTTTGACCTGGAATGCAGCCTTTGAAGCCTTTATTGAATGAGCCGTGATGATTTCTCCTACCTGACTCACGACTCCCACACACATTTTCTTGTTGAAGAAACTTGAATACATTGTATGCACGCTCTTTATTTTCTAGATCTCCCCATACAGTTACACGCGTGTACCTACGCACACATGTTCATCCTGTGTGCTTTTCTCTGTCATTTATTGGTAGGTGTTTTTTGTTGTTGTTGTTGCACACACTGTGTGTAAGGCCCCTGCATAGGCCCCTGCAAGGAGGCAGTGAAGAGAAGTAAGACATGCAAAAGGTAGAAAGAAAAACGTGAGGGAAATAGATCAAGTTTCACAGAAGTTCAGAAGAGGGGAGCGCTTATTTCTGGCTGCTCAGATTAGGATGAGCATTTGGATATTCAGAGTGGAGTGAGTCTCTGTACCCCTGCTGTCTGGGGATACAAACGCCATGGTTCAGAGTCAGAATGGCCTGCCTCCTAGGCACACGTACACGTACACTGACAGAGTGACGTGCAGATAGGAATGGAATACATTTCCTTTGGCTCGGATAAAATCTAGCTTTAGAACAACAGTGAATGCAAAGCAGAGGGGAACTTTAGAAGTCATGGAATTCACCCTTTACTAGTGTTAATTCCAAAAGGAAAAGCCAACGGAGAAGCTGATGACTCACCCACGGTCACTGGCCTCGGTTCGCCTATCTGTCTCCTGCACTGGCCCTTGTAGAAGAGGTGATGTGGCCACGCGGTGATTTCACGTTTGACGTAGAATCCGATTACGTCGGGTGATTGTTAGATTAATATTTAATAACTGACCATGAAAACGACCTCTTGAACGCTTTTTCTATTTAGGAAGACATTTGCTGTCATTTGAAAGATAAAGTGAAACAACTGGAAAGGAATCAAGAAGCAACCAAATTAGAAAAGACGGAGATGATTAACAGACTGACCAGGAGTCTGGAGGAGAGTCAGAAGCAGTGTGCCAGCTTGCTGCAGTCAGGTGGGTGTCTCCGTGCGGCCCCCAGGCCGGTGTCCGCGCAGCGACAGCAGGCCGGGGCCTTGAATGATAAAGATCCAGAAGAGACAGTAAAGATCGTTGGCGAGGATTTTTTCTTATTACATATGTGTAAAGAGGTACTGCATATTTATTAGATAATTTGGAAAACACAGACAAGTATAAGGTGAAAAAAATAAAAATGACCAATATCTCTGCTGCACAGAGGTAACGACTGTTGAATTGGAATGTGTTTCCTTCAGGTGACACAGGGCACACGTACACAGTTCCCTGCCCTTGGAAACAGACCAAAGCGGGATGTTCACAAATCGAATAATAGACAATACATGTTATAAGGCAGGTTCTCTCTCTGAAAGCTAAAAATGATACGATGTCCTGTTATAGTTTGCTGTTCAAAGTTGATCTCTGATCATGTAGTTCTGTCATTCTGTGTTACTGCCTAAGTTTCTTTCCCTCTCACAGTGGCAGAGCCACTTACCTGGTCGAGTGAGGTTACAGATTCTGTCCCGCTTAAGATTTCTCCTGTGGCCTCCATGCTACTAGGTTTGATAATGTGCTTCCTATCATTAGTTTTAGCCGTGCTTTTATTTTCTATTCATTGTTGTAAAATGATACTAGAGTACAAGGAAATAAGGTAATCACATGTTTATACAAACACCACCACCCAGACCGAACGGCCTTGTTTGCGGCTGAGTAGCTCACACTGAAAATAGCTCGGTGGTCATTTATTAACTGATACGTGATTGTCACACTGTGGCATGTGAAGTCAATTCTGATTACAGTGCGTGTAAGAGCGGGTTATTCAGAAGTCAGCCAGAGCCAAGACCCTTGCGGGGGGAATGTGGTGGACCTGAGCAGAGCAAGGACGATGGGCCAGGTACCATGGGGCAGAAAGCCGTGGGGGCCTAGCAACAAGCAGAACTAGGAGAACAAGGGCCTCGCCCCAGGGTAACCTTTCCTTCCCTAGCATGTCCCTGGTCACGGGGCTTAGACTCCCTGACCTTTCCTCCCCTGGCGTGCGGTGACCCCCCTTAGAGGAGGAGCACGGGGCAGAAGAGTGGCCTCCTGCTACCCCAGCCGCATTGACGAATGACCCCCTGCCCTGGCACTGACCAATCAGTGGAGACCAGGACCCTGAAAGGACACATCTGGAAAAGCTAATGAATGTTCTATTGAGACCCTCCCTTGAGAACTCCCCTCACACCCCGACCTTTCAAACCCCCCAGACAGAACCCAGCTCCCGCCCTCGCTCCCTAGAGTGGGCCCACGGGAACCGTTGTGTCGAGTGTACTTTGCTTTGTCTCCCCTGAGTTTCAAGGGTCCTTCTTTTCCTCTGTGCCTTGTTTCCTGAGCCCAGTTCTTCTACAGCTCACATCTTCTACCTCTGGAGTGTCTAAAGAAGCTTTCTCTTATTAAAAAAAACCCGAAAAGTTAGGTTGTGGGTTCGATTCCCGGCCCCAGTCAGGGCACATGCAGGGGCAACTGATCAATGTTTTCTTTCGCTCTGCCTCTCTCTGTCTCTTTCTAAAAAAAGTCAAAAGTACTAACATCAAAGCCAGTCTAAAAATGCGTGTGTGTATGTTTTGGAGGAGGCAGAATTTGGACCATGCTCTAGTTAGGTCCCTGTTTAGTTTTGGATTCTTTTGTTTTCCCATGTCATAACTGAAGAACCTTTTCCCTTGCCATTAAAGGCTTTGAAAATATGATTTTCTTTAGTTGCATAATATGCCATCATTACTTTGCTTAAACATTTCCCAGATGCTCATTTTCTTTTGAGCAAACCCAATAAAGGCCCTTGTAAATGGAAACACGCCCCCTCCACACACACACAAAGAATAAAAAATAAAAAACAAAAGAAAAAATTAGATGGGAACCTCCCTTGGTACATTTAAAACACCAGGTTACTAAGGTTTCAGAAGCATAATCCTCATAGACTTCGTTCACGAGGTCGGGGTGGTGGGAATACAAGCGTTTCGAAGGACGCTAAAGGCCACATGATGTAGTTTCTCAGTTGAGGGTGGGAGTGGGTGAGAGTTTTTGCTGTGGCTTTCTGTGAGTCAGAAGGCCACGCCCCTGTTAAAGGGCTTCTGGAGTGTCCAGGGCTGTGGACGCGACCTGATTCATAGCAAGGTCACAGTAGGTCATGTCTTCCACTTCCCAAGGACACACAGGGAACCATACTAAATCGTGGAAATGTGTGGACCAGACCTGTGCCTTGTGGGTCCCACTGGCTGTTCCTCTGTGCTCCTGAAAAGATCATAAAATGGTCATAAAGCTGTGGATTCATGTCTCCTGTACGTCATCCGTGCCTTGGTCATTTACACTGCTGTGTTCTGTGACTCCTCCACCCTCAGGCTCGGTCCAGGAGGTGGTGCAGCTGCAACTCCAGCTGCAGCAGGCACAGAAGGCGCATGCCATGAGCGAGAGCATGAACAAGGCTCTGCAGGTGAGTGTTGCCCCACGGAAGAGTTTCACTTTTCTGAACCTTGATTTCTCTACATGAAAAAGGTGGTTGGACCATCTCCAAAGCCGCCCATGAGAGTTGTTTGCAGTCTCGCCCACACGCGTGGGTAGTGAAGCCCAGGGGTCTGTGTGTGTGTGTGTGTGTGTCCCAGATATAAGGTGATCTGCAGGCCTGGGAAACCTACCGTGTAGCTGCAGTGCTGTCACCGCCTCCTCCGGTGCTATGTACATTGTCCACGGGAGGCAAAGGGAGATGCTGCAGGAAGAGGTGCAGGGTTACCTGCTCTGGAAGGAAGCACTGGGCCTTCCCACCACCGGCAGACTGTAAAGTCCAGCACGCTGCTGGGAAACCAGTCCACTCTGCTTTCTGCTCTAGTGAGCCAAAAGGAGCTGCCTCTCTTTTTTAGCTCAAGGGACACTTTTCATGGAGGAAAAGTGTAAGGGAAGCATGAGTGAGACGATGTGCATTTTCTTTTTTTTTTTTAAATATGTTTTTATTGATTTTAGAGAGAGAGGAAGGGAGGAGGAGAGAGAGCTAGAAACATTATGAGAGAGAAACATCAACATTGATTGGCGGCCTCCTGTACTCCCCCTGCTGGGGATCGAGCCCACAACCCCAGCATGTGCCCTGACCAGGAATCAAACCTATTGGTCCACAGGTTGATGCTTAGCCACTGAGCCACACTGGCTGGGCATAACTTGCATTTCCTTTCTCATTCACTTATTCATTTGTTCATCCAGTTTACTGGAAAACCTGATATGTGCTGGCCTTTTCTATAAAGTTATTTTTAACATGTGCTAAAGTGTTTGAAGAAGCATTTCCGCCTTCTCTTGACCATTAAAATGAACTTCAAGCATAGATAGAAGGACTGATTCTTAAAGGAAAACAATGAAAATAACTTTTAATAATTTTGTGTTGTAGGAAGAATTAACAGAACTAAAAGATGAAATTTCTCTCTATGAATCTGCCGCAAAACTAGGAGTACTTCCAAGGGACTCAGGAGGAGAATTAAATACAGAACTCACTGACTCATATGTGGATTTGGGTATTAAAAATGTCAACTGGAAAAAATCCGAAGTTAAGAGGTATCGAGAACCTAGTTCACTGTAGAAGAGCCTACACTAATGGGACTGACTGTGCCCGGCACATGAGTGGCACCAGGCATGAGCCGACAGGCTGGCAACCCAGGCATGTGCCCTGATTGGGAATCGAACCAGGACCTCTCAGTCCACTGAGCCACACTGGCCGGGCGGGAAGCCTTTCTTGAATGCATCTGGCCCACACCAGCACTGTCTGATTTCTAGTTCAAGACAGAGTTTACCGTCATTATTGTTGAGTGGGAGTGTTCACTACCTGTTGTGTTTCAGGCATCATGCAGCTAAATACAAGTATATATGTTTCCTGAAGGGTTTGCTCTCCAATAGGTGTTAGAACGTATGTATTTTAGCACTGGATTCTGTTTTCAGAACTGAAGGTAAGAGTCAGTTAATTGAAAACTCAAGTGATCGGGGAATGTGGTGAAACAAGGTGTAATTGTAATTTAGTAGGGCTCCATTTTTCTGGAGGTCAGTCTTGAGGGACTGTCATCTCCAAAGACCGCAGCTACAATCCAGAAGAAAGCAAAGAAGAAAATCGCAGAACTAAGTTGTGTGGTGTATTTAGGAAGAGTCTGGCACCTCTTCCAGGCCATGTTGACTTAGACTTGTTTGCACCCCATGAGATTTCTGATTTCCTAAGCCGTGGGAGAGTAGCTGGGGCTGGGGCTTGGGAGAGGTACTGCCATGGTTCAGCTGGACAGCTCAGCCTCAGCAAGGAGAGATCTATGGGAGCAGCGGGCTGGAGCTGCTGGGCCTCGTCGGGGTCCACGGCATGGCCCCGAGTTGTCTAAGAAAGCTTTCAGTGTGGTTAGTTAATCAAAGTGAAAGAGGGGGTGTGCGTTCTATTTTTTAGACAGATTTACATAAAATTTTATTTTATTTATTTTATATATTTTTACTGATTTTTTAGAGAGTAAGAGGAAGGGAGAGAGATAGAAACTTTGATGTGAGAGAGAGACATCAATCTGCTGCCTCCTGCACGGCCCCCACTGGGGATCAAGCCCGCAACCTGGGCATGTGCCCTGACCGGGAATTGAACCAGGGCCTTGCAGTCCATGGGACTATGTTCAATCTGGGCCACAAAAAATTTTAAAGTTAAAATATCATCTGGAAAATTTACTGCTGTGAATGCCTCATTTCCTGTTAATACCAGATTATTTCAAGGGGCTAATGGAAAGAGTGTGTTTGTTAGATCCAGATTTTGTTTTGAATCATAGTTTTGCCATTTATTAGTAGCTTTATGACCTTGGGCAAGTTTCTTGACTTTTCTGAGCCTGTTTTCTTATCAGGCTTTCTTGATTAAGTAGATCATAGTATATACTTTGGGGGTTAAAGTGAGGATTAAAATAGATAATGAATAAAAAGGGCCTTAAGTAATATGTTTCAGTGCATGAGGCACTTAATCAATGGTAGCAATTACTGTTATTAGATGATGAGTTAAAACATACCATTGATTAGATTTTATATTAATCCACTTCTTACTCAACACATACTTTATTATTGAAAGTTCTTTTTTAAATCCTCACCCGAGGATATTTTTCCACTGTTTTTTTTTTTTAGGTAGAGTGGAAGGGAGGGAGGGAGGGAGAGAGAGAGGGAAATACTGACCTGAGAGAGACACGCCGATTGGTGGCCTCCTGTACCCAGGGCCTGAGATCGAACCCAAGACCCTTTGGTCCACGGGCCGACGTTCTGACTGCTGAACCAAACGAGCCAGGGCTATAAAAAGTTCTTGATCCTCATCTCAACCTTAAGAAAAGCGTCAGATCCATTGTCATCACATTAGAATTGGGGAACCCAAGGAGGCAGACAGACCATTATCAGCAGAGCCAGGACTCGAAACCAAGACTTGACTGTCACATAAACCTGTTCCATGTTTACACGACGGTCAGACTTTGTGGCCTTAAACTTTGTTCTTTATGCCTTTTATTTTAAAGGATTAAAGATTTGGTTTATGCCAGAAAATATTTTTTCTCCAAGTATGCTATTGTCTTATTTTAATTTGTGCCATAATTAGCTTAGGAATTGGGTATATAATAATAGTGGTAATCTATATATTTTCTCAAGTAGACCGACTTCATCATGATGTCTACTAAAATATATTCTAGTTTTGCCCCTTCTGTTTAAGTAGTACTCCTAGCGGAGGTCCTGTGGTAAAAGCCCATTCCCGAAGATAACTAACCTGAGCCCTCACCTCACTATGGCAGGACAAGGATGCCAGCACGAACAGCTGGGCAAGTGGAGAATGACCGAAACCTAGTGGGTGGGCACTGAGGCTCAGCGAGGAGAAGGTCGGTGGGACACGGGATATGTGAAGGAAGGTTCAGCTATTCATCCCACCTACCAGCAGTTTAATAGATAAGAATTCAGTGCAGATGAAAAAGTAAGAAATATTTCTTCTTAGATCAAAGTGAGAGATCTAGGAGAGAAATCTGTACCTTTCCTTTGCTGGACTGTGATTCTCAGAACAGGAGGAAGCAAGAGTCTTTCCAGTGTCAAGAGTTTTAGTTCTTTGTTGACTTGAGCTGCTTTCAAATCACTGACCCAGTTATTAGCGGCTCCAAGCTTTTATTCCCAACGACCGCCTCCCTCAAGCTACCGCCTGGTAGATCTGAAGGGGTTCGCCTCAGTGTTCTGTTTCACATTCGCGGAATCCGAGCAACCAAATCTGCACACAGCCTGCAGACAGCTCCCCCTCTCCCTTATTATAGTTGGCTGCGAAGCTCCAATAATAAACATTTAACAAGTGGAATGCCTTTTCCTTTGGTCTTCTCAGCAGGCTTCACAAGGGACTACAGTTTATTTGGATTCAGGGGAACCAGCTTCCATAGGGCTCAGTAGTGAGCCTTAGGCAGGACTGGTCACCCCCACTGACTTTTTCCCTTTGGGGAAAGAAGAGAAAATTATTTTAGCAAGTACTTTCTCTGCCCTTTGACTTGGTTCCCCCCAGGAGTACACGATGTGCTATTCCAGTGGGCAGCATTCAGTAAGGAAAGAAATGAGGGATGCATAATGTGTTCACTGAGAAAATAAGTTCTGCTTCAAGTGAGTTCACCGTCTTACAGCATGGGCGGGTGCACTGTAATATGTTTTATATTATATTTCTTATATATTGCTATTTCTTATATGTCTATATATTTCAATATAGATAGAAGTGGTTTAAATAGGTGAGTTGTGTAGATACCTATTTACGCTATATAGATTACATATACAAAAGTGTATATCAATAAATATGTAGCATATTGGAAGTTCCTTTTATAATGTTAAAACTAATATGTTCTACATTCTCTCTCTTCCCCCCCCCCCTCCTCTCCCTGTATATGTATACACATAGTATATATACCAATGTTTCATTTGGAATCATCTGAAACTGAAAATAGTAAAACTTTTAAACTCAGATACTATTTATTTCTTTTTAAAGAAATAGATGTTAGTTTTTTAGAACAGTTCTAGATTTACAAAAAAAATTAATATTGTACAAAGAGTTCCTGTAAACTTGGCACCCATTTTCCCTTATTAACATCTTACATCAGCACAGTGCTTTGTTGCAAAGAACTAGTATCGATACATTGTCATTAACTAATATATCCACAGTCGACAGATGATCTTAGTTTTTATTTGATGTCCTTTTTCTATTCCAGGATCACATCCAGGGTACCACATTATATATAGGAGTCCTATTTCCTTAGGTTCCTCTTGAATTTTCTTGTTTTTGATGACACTGATAGTTTTAAGAAATACTGGTCAACTATTTTGTAGGAAGACCCTCTATTGGAATTTGATGTTTTATGTTTTTCTCATGATTGTTCTCCTCATGGGTTTTATGGAGGAAGACCATAGCGGTGATGTTCCATTTTCATAACATAATATTCAGGGTACATACTATCAATATTTTTTCCAAAAGTAACTTTCTCCTATATTAAGGAAAAAATAGAAACTACAGATTAAGAAAACAAGAAAAGTAATGTTACTTCACCTCCCCTGAAGAAAACCACTATTAAAATTTTGGTATATAATTCCTTTAAAAAATGTTTTTATTGATTTAGAGAGAGGAAGGGAGAGAAAGAGAGAGAGAAACATCAATGTGAGAGAGACACTTTAGTCGGGTGCCTCCTGCACGGGCTGGTGCTCGAATAGCTGAGCCACACTGGCCAGAACACGTTTTGGTATATAATTTCCACACCTGCTTTGATGTTTCTAAGAGATAAAATAATATAGAATATACTGTTTTATAATGTGCCTTAATACATTATGAAATCTTTAGATGTCAGTAAATATTGTTATATATATTTACTAATGGGTATGTGAATGAATGTAATACATTCTAGTTAGTAATACACTGTTCAAAAAATTTTTAATCATAAATAATACAATATTGTTATTACAAGCATCCTTGTAGCCAAGTCTGTATTAACACCTTAGATTTTTCCCTTAAGATGTGGATGGACAGTCTTGTGAAAGGGTATGCACATTATAGGAGGTTCTTTTTTTTTTTTTTAATCCTCACCCCGAGGACATTTTTTCGATATTTTGTTCAGATAGAGGGGGAGGGAGGGAGAGAGAGAGAGAAACATCGACGTGACAGCGACACATCGAGTGGTTGCCACCCACACGACCGACCAGGGCCGGGGACAAACTGCAACCGAGGTACGTGCCCTTAGCGGGAACCGAACCCGGGTCTCTCCGGACCGCAGGCCGACGCTCTAACCGCTGAGCCAAACCGGCCAGGGCTGGGAGGTTCTGATGAATGCAGCCAAGTAGCCCTCGAGTTCGTATCATTTCCCACACCCTGGCAGTGCCTATTTCTATGGACCTAGCCAGTGCTGAGAGTTATCACAACAAATTTTATTTGTTGGTGGTATTTTTTTTAGTACTTTTATAGTTTTATTTTACTTTCTAAACCTTTTAAAATTGTGAAATATAACACATAAAGAGAAGTGCATGAAGCATACACTTAATGAATGATTTTAAGGTACATACCCATGGAACCACCGCCCGGGTCAGGAAACTGCCCATACTCCTCTTTCCGGTCACACCTGTGAGAGTAACTGTTACCTTGACTGTTATGGCAATCATTTTCTGTTTGTTTGTTTTTTGTTTTTTTGTTATTCTTTTAAGACCTAATTATTCATACCTAAACAGTATAGATTTGGTTTTCCTTCATATGAATGGAACTCATACATTAGATGTTTGTGCTTGTTTGGTTTCTTCTACAGCTTTATTTATGTATTTCACAAACCATGAAATTTACCCATTTTAAGTGTACAGCCCAGTGGTTTTTAGTTTAGTCACAGAGTTGTACAACCATCACCACAACTGAATTTTAGAACATTTCAGTATCCCCAAAAAGAAACCCCGCACCCATTACCAGTCATTCTGCATACCCTTTCCTGCCCACAGGCCCTAGGCAGCCACTAGTCTACTTTCTGTTTGTATGGATTTGCCTGTACATTTCACATAATGGAATTATATAAGTATGTGGTCTTTGTGATTGGCTTATTTCACTTAGCATCTTATGTTAGCACTTCATTTTATTTTATAGCCAAATAACATTTCATTGTATGAATATACCACATTTTGTCTATTTATACATCAGCTGATAGACATTTATTTGGATTTTTTGTACCTTTTGGCTATTATGAATAATTCTGTGTGAACATTTGTGCATACATTTTTGTGTGGACATATGTTCTCATTTCTTTTAGATACGTACTTAGGAGTGGAATTGCTGGGTCATATGGTAATGCTAAGTTTAATATTTTGAGAAGCGATCCAACTGTTTTCCAAAGAGGCTGCCCCATTTTGCATTCCTGGCTATTCTCTGTCTCTTGCAGTTCCATATGAATTTTAGGATCAGTTTGTCAATTTCAACAACAAAACAGGCTGGAATTTTTGACAGGAGTTGCGTTGAAGCTGTAGCTCAAGTTTGGGAGCATTGCCATCTTGATACTGTCTTCAGATCCCTGAACATGAATGGCTTTCCATCCATTTAGATCTTCTTTAATTTCGTTTAGTGTACTAGGTATCTGCTTTTGTAGTTTTGTGGTTTTCATCGTCCCAGCTGTGTACTTCTGTTAAATGTATACTTGGGTATTTTATTCTCCTTGCTAGATTGTTTTCTTAATTTTATTTTTAGATTGTTCATTACTAGTATATAGAAATACAGTTGATGTTGTATATTGATCTTGAATCTTGTCACATTGCTGAGCTGAACTAATTTATTAGTTAAAAAGGATTTTTAGTGGACTCCTTAGGATTTTTTTATGTTCAAGATCATGTCATTTGAAAATATAGATAGTTTTACTTCTTTCTTTCCAATATGGATGCCTTTCATTTATTTTTCTTGTACAATGTTGAATAGAAGCGGTAAGAGCAGATATCTTTGTCTTGCTGCTGACCTTAGGGGGAAGTATTTAGTCATTCTCCATTAAGCATGAATGTGAGCTGTGGGATTTTCATAGATATAGGTGTTCTTGAGGGCTTCTTCACTCAACATTTTGTTTGTGAGACTCATGTTGTAGCATGTAGCTGTAACTCGTGTGTGTGTGTGTGTGTGTGTGTGTGTGAGAGAGAGAGAGAGAGAGAGAGAGAGAGAGAGAGAGAATCTTAGTATGACTATTTCAAAGTTTATTGATCATTCTGTCCATAGATTATTGGTTATTTCTTGGTATGATGTGCATACATTTCTGTTGGGTGTGTTCTGTTCTGTGCGTGCATAGCTTGGGATTTAGACTGCAGTTTGTACAAGTTTATGCACAAAATTCAGATTCCTTTCTCTGGATCTCTTCTCTCCAGGAGTCTTCCTATATTATCTCTTTATCACTGATTTTCAGCAGTTTGGTGTTGATGTGATTTATGGTAGTTTTTTTCATGTTTTCCCTTTATTTAAAAATTTTTTATTTTATTTTTTATTTTAGGGAGAGAGAAAGGAAGAGGGAAAGAAAGGGAAACATCAATGAGAGAGAGAAGCACTGATTGGCTGTCTTCTGCACGCCCCCTCCTGGGGATTGAATCTATAATTTGGGTTTGTGCCCTGACTGGGAATCGAACCGGTGACCTCTCAGTGCATTAGATGATGCTCAACCAACTGAGCCACACTGGGCCTTCATGGCTTTTTGTTTTGCTTGAGATTCATTGAGCTTCTTGGTTTTATAGTGTTTTAGTTTTCACTGAATAGGAAAATTTTGGTCATTAATTTTTCAAAAAAATTTTTTTCTGTCCCCCATCCTCTTCTGGGACTTCGGTTATGCTAAGAGTAAAAAACTTAACATGCACTGTGTATTTCTGTTTTTGTCTTCTCTCTCTGTTTAATCTGTAAAGTTTTATTGCTATATCTTTGTGTTCATTGATCTTCTCTTCTGCAATGCAAAGTATGCTGTAAATCTTATCCAGTATATTTTTCATTTCAGATGTTGTAATTTTTTGTCTCTGTAAGTCAAATTTGGGTCTTTTTTATGTCTTCCATTTCTCTCCTCATCGTGTTTTTTTTTCTCCCTACTTTATTGAACACATGGTATATATTTGATTAATCCTATTGCCTGTGTCACTGGTGGTTCATTTTCTATTGATTGATTTATCTCCTGCTTATTTTCTTTCTTGTTTATTTGCATGCCTGGTGAATTTTTATTGAATGCTAGACATTTAAATTTTTATATTTTAGATGTTAGATTTTACTTTATATTTAAAAATATTGTTATTATTTTTCTGTGACACAGTTAAGTTACCTGGAATCCATTTTACCCTTTCAAAGCTTTTCTGAAGGTTTTGTTAGATTAGGTTTAGAGGCGCCTTTCACCTGGGGCTAATTTGGCCCATCTCAAAGGCAGTATCTGATGCTCTGTGCATTAGGAGGCCTTTCCACTATGGCTCATTGCAATACAAACATTCCCAGCCCTATCCGTTTCCTGTGGCTCTTTTCCTGGCCTCCAGGTAATTTCCTTACATCCACACCCAGATCTCTAGAGCTCTCTTTCTGCATGGCTTCCTTTCCCCTGTGTTCATCGCCTCCGTTTCCAGCCATTTTGTCCTGCCCAAAGTGAATGAACTCTCTGCAACTCAGTGAGACCCGGTTCTCTGCACTTCCTCTCCCTGTGCTCCAGCCTGGAACTCTACGGCAGGAAGCTGTGCCGGCACAGGTCTCAGCGGGCTTGCCTTCCTTTTGTCAGGGGTCACTGGGCTGTGCTGCCTATTGTCTAATAATTGAAAATCACTGCTTCATATATTTAATTTGGTTTTCCTTTTATTTTATTTTATTTTTTGAGGCAGGAAGATAAATCTGGTTCTTTTAATTCATTACAAGAAGGAACAGAAATTCTCATTCCGATTCTGAAATTTATTGAAACTAAAGTTGGGATTAAATGGCTTTTATTTTTGTTATTTTTTCCCCAGTTGCTCAGATATCCACTTAGACTTGTGTTTTAGTAAAGGAGATATAGAAATTGTAGGTTAGGATGGCTTGTGGTTACTATTTTTTTTCTTTTGTTTTTATGAAGTTGTAAAGGACACGCATATATGTCATGCAGCTCACCTGAAACAGAAGCGTGAGCCATATTGAAGTTCATGTGGCCGAACTTTCAGTGGGGCAGCAGGACTCAGCTTAAGAATGGTCCTCCTGTCCAGCTGGTGTGGCTCAGTGGTTGAGCATTGACCCATGCACCAAGAGGTCGCCGGTTCGATTCCCAGTCAGGATCCATGCCTGGATTGTGGGCCTGATCCTTAGTGTGGGACTTGCAGGAGGCAGCCAATTGATGTTTCTACCTCTCTCCCTCTCCCTTTCTCTCTCTCTAAAATCAATAAAGGGGGAAAAAAAAGAATGGTCCTATGAATAAATGTATTCCTGTATATGGGGACATAGCAAAAGCAATATCCTTGTGTATGACAAAGTTTAAGATACTGGTATATAGTTGCATAGGTCACAAAACCTGGCCATCATTGCAGTTAGTAGCTTTTAAGGAATAACCATGCTTGATCTGTTACTTGACTTAACTTTAAATATGATACTGTCTCCATTAGCATTTTCCCACAAGAAGACCCAAACAAAGAGCTTTCCAAGGATGAGGTGATTCTGAAGCTGAAAGCGGAGGTGCAGCGTCTGCTGGGCAGCCACGCCGTGAAGCGCCGCCTGGTGGCGCAGCTGCAGAGTGACCTCCAGGGCTGTCGCAAGCAAATGGAAGATCTGCAGAGAGTGGAGAAGGAGGTAAGAAGCATCGAGGTCGAGGTTCCTTGAATTGGTAGAGCTGAACCGCCATTTTTCAAAGACTTAGTAAGGACAGTGCTTACAGTTTTCACATTTAAATTAAACCTTTGGCTTCCAGGGGTTCATTGGACTTTCTTAGAAGTAAGATTTAGAGAGAGAATGTCATTCCAAGGACCCTATTTTCTGGTTACTCTTGGCACGTAGTAAATGAGATGCCACCTAGAGAAAATTTCTTTATCCCAAATCCAAGGAAGCATCCGTCCTATATAATAGAGTATTTGCATTTTCCCAAGACTGGCTTGTATCAACAGTGCACTGACATCTAACTAAATTCTCCATTTAGCACGCTGTCCATGAGGCTTCTCTGGCCCATGTTTCTATCATGAAAGTCACTCTGTGTAAGGAAATGAATTTTATAGTGGTGGTGGTACGAGGGAGAGGCAGAGTCAGGTTATGGTGGAGTCACTGATCCACCTCTGTATCCATACTCTCCTTACTTTATAGGTGAGAAAATGAGGTTGGAGCAGCTTGTGACCCTTCTGAGGTTACAGAGTCAATCTGGAGGCAGACTGAAGTTAAAACAGTGGAATAATAAACAGGCAAGGGTTATTCCCCAAGATCATGCTACCACAGAGATCTTCAGGGTTGCCCCCCATGGCAGCTGCCTTTTCCACCCTTCCACATTGTGCATTCAAGCCTGCCTGCACTCCCAACAGACAAGAAGGCGAAGACTTAGCAACTAGAAGGAGAGGTGAAGGAGGAACATAAATGTAGATGGTGTATTCCTTTCCTCCTGGATGGAAATAATTTTTTACTTCCTATGTTAGTACTGTTTATCTCCTGATCCCTTAAACTAGGAATTGTATTTATTAAAACAGTCCTATTAAGTCTGGATGGTGTGGCTCAGTGGTTGTGTGTCGACCCATGAACCAAGAGGTCGCTGGTTCACTTCCTAGTCAGGGCACAGCCCAGGTTATGGGCCCAGTGCTCAATGGGGGGCATGCAGGAGGCAGCCAGTCAGTGTTCTCGCTCATCAATGTTCCTATTTCTCTCCCTCTCCCTTCCTCTCTCTCTAAAATCAATAAAGAAACAAATTTGTTGTTTAAAAAGAATGTCCTATGTAGTAAGATGAAGCAGAACAGACGTAAGCAGAAAGGGTGGAAGTCACGCTGTAAGAAAAACCAAATGCAGACTGCTGGGAAAATCAATATTGGCCGCCTTCTGCATGCCCCCTGCTGAGTATGTGTGCTGACCGGGAATCAAACCAGTGACCTCTTGGTGCATGGGTCAGTGCTCAACCACTGAGCCACACTGGCCCGGCTACATAGGACATTCTTGGGAGCATTGTGTTGGTAATTCTCTGCACATTTTCTCAGTATATATTTGTTGAATTAATACACGTATTGATCCACTTCCTAGATGGGGGAATGGGAGAGGACATGGTAATTTAGCCAAAAGGTGGTTTTGTTTACAATAAACACAAGTTTAAGTCAGAAAGCAGGGCTGGGATGTATGTGGAGAAGGAGCAAATCATTGAGTTTAAAGGGTTTTTTTTAAAGCAACTTTGTGCAAGGTTTTGTGGGACTCAGTGATAAAAGAAACAATGGTCAGCCCTGGCCAGTGCGACTCAGCTGGTTGGAGTGTCGTCCTGTGTTCTGAAAGGGGTGGTGGGTTCGATCCCTGTCAGGGCACATACACAAGTTTGGGGTTTGATCCCTGTCAGGGCACATACACAGGTTTGGGGTTCGATCCCTGGTCAGGGTGTGTGCAGGAAGCAACTGATTGATGTTTCTCTCTACATCGATGTTTCTCCTTTTCTCTCTCTAAAATCAATTTAAAAAAACACCATATCCTAGGGTAAGGATTAAAAAAAAAGTAGAGGCCAAGTTAAAAAAAGGAAAGCCATTCTAACGAGTCTGTAAAATCTTTCAGAGAATCACTAAACCCCCAAATCTGGAGAGGAGCTGACAGAGTAGGTATTCTTAGCTCTGTTCTGACTGGGTAGGGGCAGTGGCTTCTGGGACACGGTGGCAAGTGGAAAGGGAAAGTCAGCAACTGGAACGGTTTCCCTCGGGAGTGAAGACGCTGCGAGTTGTAAGACTGAGCCAAAGCCTTGGTGTTTTGTCACCGCGCCTGGGGATGAGATACACACACCTCGCTCCCCCCGCCCCCCAGTGAGTGGCATGAACCTTGGTACAGGCTATTTTTTAAATGTTTTATAAGAGAGCTTAGAGTTGGGGTAAATACATAAATCAACAAGTCCAATAACGTAGGTTTTTTTTTTTTTTATTGATTTTTTAGAGAGAGAGAGAGAGAAATTTTGATGTGAGAGAGAAACTGGTTGCCTCCTGCAGGCCCTATACTGGGAATTGAGGCCACAACCTGGGCATGTGCCCTGACCGGAAATCAAACTGGGACCTTTCAGTCCATGGGACGATGCTCAACCACTGAGTCCCATCTGCTGGGCCAATAATGTAGGTATTTAAAAAAAAATCTTTGTCACCTCTCAAATAAAGAACTCATAAAAATAAATGTGGAAGACATTTAGATGCTAAGAGGAAAATGTGCCAAGTCATATAAACAGACACATTTGGGAAGATGTAAAACAAATGAACAGTGAAGGTCTGTGAGAGGTTCCACTCTGGTGGCAGTGGAGGGATGCCAATGAGAGCCGTTGTGAGCTCCCTTCCCCCATCAAATGCAGTCATCATCTAAGGACAGTCACTGCCCCGGAGGTGAAGAGAGTGGACAGACCCATGAGAGAATACATTTGGACACGCTTTCTGGCAAAAATTTACCAAAGTCTATTAGAGTCTTAAAAATTGTACCTATCGTAATAAAATACGTATCTGTGAGTCAGTACTGATTATGTAAATAAATAAATGAATGCTAAATTTAGTAGATGAAAGTATGATGAATAATAGAATATTTGCATACTCTTGAAGTATCTCCTTATAAGATACTTACTGTTATAAATGGAAAGATAGTAATTTCACAGCGGAGGTGCTTGCGGACACTGCCCCCATCGGTTGATGGTCACCTGTGCCATTCATGCCCCAAATGCATGACCTGAATTCACTAATGAAGTTACATCAGAAAATAAATCGAGGGGCATCCTACAAAATAATTCGTTAGTACTCAAAAATATTGTGAGTTTGAAGGACAGAGACTGTCCTAGGTTGGAGGAGACTAATGAGATGGGATCACTAAATGCAACGTATAATCATAGATTTGATTCTAAACCAGGAAAGGACATTAGAGGAAAATTAGAAAAATTTGTATAAGGTCTGTAGATTCGTTAATAATATTGCATCCTAGTTAATTTCCTGGTTTTGATCATTGTACTGTGGTTATATTTGGGGACCATGGTAAAAGGTATATGGGGGAAAAAAAAGGTATATGGAAATTATTTGTACTGTTTTTACAATTTCGCTGTAAGTATGGTGTTATTTCAAAACAAGTACTTGGAATTTTTTTAAAAACCTGAAAAACTTTTCACTTTTCTTAAACATTTAGACTAAAACAGATACCTCAGAGAAACCAACTAATCAGTTATGGCCCGACTCTTCTGCTTCTGAAATGATTGCCAAAGATGAGATTCTAAGACTTAAAAATGAAATTCAAGTTTTGCAAGAACAAAATCAGGTAATTAAATTCCTAGAAAGTGCTTTGTGAGAATGTCCATGGCCTCATTAAGTGCAAAGAGTGTAGTGGACTTTTCTCTTACGGAGCCATGTGAGTTAGTAGTCAAGGGTATTAGTAGGTGGTTAAGGATTCCAGTTCTTTCCTTGACTATTGGTCACGGGGTAGTAGTTTCATTAGAAAGTAGGTTAGTGTAAATCCAGTTTTCTGTCTATACAGTAGCATGGCTGACAGGGGTGTTTTTTCTTCCTTAGCCAGCCTTTGACCAAAAAGTGAAATTTGCTTATTTAGAAGGTTACTGAAGACTGTTAATTCTAAGACTATTTTAAAGCATCAGTGAGCCACTACCTTTCTGGTTAAGTATTTTCATTTCATATATTTCAAATTAAATACAAAATTTTAATTTTTACTTCTTTCGGAAAGCTACTTGTCAAATAAATGGTTCTATATGCTTAAGGCATGAAGAGGCTTTTGTAGTGTTGTGAAAATGATATCATGGCCCTGGCCGGCTTGGCTCAGCGGTTAGAGTGTCAACCTGTGGTTCAGAGAGACCTGGGTTCAGTGTCCGCTAAGGGCATGTACCTCGGTTGCAGTTTGTCCCCGGCCCTGGTTGGGTCATGTGGGTGGCAACCACTTGATGTGTCCCTTTCACGTCTTTTGTAAACAGGCACTTAAAGAAACGGAAGAAAAACTGCGAAGTACAAATCAGGATTTATGTAATCAAATGAGACAAATGGTACAAGATTTTGATCGTGATAAACAAGAAACTGTTGATAGGTAAAGTCTATGTAGAAGCCGAATGCCTGCCTCCTGGGCATCCTCCCCCCCTCCCTCCCCCATCCTCCTCCTCCTCCTCACCCCCACAAAGATTCCAGAGAAATGATGGAGTAAGCCTTCCCCGCTGAGACCTTGGATTGGAGAAGATGAGTCCCTGGCTTCTCAAATTGGAATTTGGAACTCATTTTCCATAGAAGTGAGGTTACGTAGTGGGTTGGGTTCTATTGCACCATCAGAATGGTGGTTCTTTGAAATGGTATAGCTTAATGATGTTTCAAAGGCTATTTATAAGGAAGGAATCTGTGAGAAAATATGTCTTCCAAATACCAAATCATAAACTTGGAAACAGACTTTTGGAACATAACTTACCTGTGAGTTCGGTACTGCTGGTATTTGTGTTTAATTTTGGAACCACACTCCCCGATGATGTCATTTCATTTTTTATGAACAAGTCCTCAACACACTATTATCTCTGTTTGAAGGACTGGGACATCCTCACATCCAAGTTTCTAATTTTTTTCCTAGAAACATCTGAAGAAAGGACAGTTTGAAAATTGCTCCCTTTTTGGCTGGGGAACCGATCTCACCTTGACCATAGTTTCATTAGGGAAGAGTAGGGGGGAGGAGGGGCGGGAAACTGGGTCATCACTGCTTAGGCGCTGCTGGCTGCCTTCCGCCCACAGGTGTGAGAGGACCTACCAGCAGCACCACGAGGCCGTGAAGGCCCAGATCCGCGAAAGCCTGTTAGCAAAGCATACTTTGGAGAAGCAGCAGCTCTTCGAGATGTATGAGGGGACGCACTCGCAGCTTCGGTGAGGAGAAGAGCTTAGGCACCCTTGAGGCTGTACGACAGCGTTCCCCTAGGTCGGAGCTTAGAGAAAGTGGTGCTGCAGTCCGTGTCTCGTTCTGCGGGTCATTTAGTTGCTGGTTTTGTGTACCCAAGGTCGGAACTGGATAAGATGAATAAGGAGATGGCCTCCGTGCAGGAGTGTTACCTGGAGGTGTGCAGAGAGAAGGACAGTCTGGAAGCGGCTCTCAGGAAGACCTTTGAGAAGGAGCAGCAGGCTCGGGAGAAGAAGGTACAGGTCCACACCGCGTTCCCTCCCTGTGATTTCTCCGCCTCCCTGTTGTCATGGAAACCAACACACTTGTTCTCTTGGGCCCTGGGGAAGGCGCACGCAGAAGTCTCTTTTCTTTGGGCTGTGTCACACTGATGCAGCCCACAAAATACAGTAAGGTGTGGGTATGATTATTAACACCTTAGTAGAAACTGGCCTATGTATAGGGGAAAATCAATCTTTCTTATTGATTTATTCTGAGGCAAAAATGAGTTCTGAAAATAAGAGTGGACCTGAGTCGCTTGGAGTCTGAAACCTAGGGGTCCTCATTTTGTGCTTGCGTGTCGGCTGCTCAGGCGACCCCGCCTGGCCGGGAGCCCTGGCAAAGTGTTCCTCCAGAGACATTGCCCTCCGGTCCCCTCTCTGCCGGGATCGAAGCATCATTTCATTCTGGGGAGCAGAGTGGCCCTTTGAACGTGGGTTTCCTCACAGGGAAGGCGGTGGCACGGAGATCGTGGAGAGAGGTCAGTGTTGTGGACCTCTTTCAGGGAAGCCGGAGGGTTGCACGTACTCCACTGCCTGGACCGTCCAGGTTGCCACTGGTGAGTGTGCAGGGCTCAGATCACACGTGGAGTCGCGCCTCCTCTCTCCTTCCCTGTCCCGCCAGAGCCTCATCCAGACGCACCTCTGCCTCCCACTGGGCCCCTGTGGACCACATTGTGAAAGCTGCCTGCCTCGAGACCGGGAACGATTTCTAAAGGCCCGAGTAAAGGTTCTGTACAGAGGTTTTTGATAAGTTATAGGAAAGCAAGGCATTGCTACCACAGACTTAAAAAGAATAGTAAAGAGCAGATGAACTCCATTCATTTAGTATTTTGATTATTTTTGAGTAGATTAATATGGTAAAAAATAATGTGCCATGTTATACGTATCATGCACTGGAAAAAAAAATTCTCTGAAGGGAGCTGTTTTAGTTGGTGCTGGCAGTGTGGAAGGTAAAAGGGCTCTCTCAAGTTACCCAGGAGTTAAGGACTTGGCTTTCAGTAACGTTTTAAAAATTAAAATAGGGAGAAGATTTCTCATGTGATTCTTTATATATTTATATATATATAAATAAATTGGCAAGAACATAAGAGCAATTCAAAGAAGTCATTCTTTTCAGGAATATATTTTCTGGTACATTTTTTTTTTTATCCTCATCTGAGGACCCTTTTTCATTTATCTTCAGGTAGAGCGGGAGGGAGACAGGGAGGAAGAGAGAGAGAGAAACATCGATGTGAGAGAGACACATTGAGTGGTTGCCACCCACACGACCCCAACTGGGGCCAGGGACAAACTGCAACCGAGGTACATGCCCTTAGCGGGAACTGAACCCGGGACTCTCTGTCCATGGGCCGATGCTCTAACCACTGAGCCAAACTGGCCAGGGCATTTTCTGGTACTTTTAAAAGAATCAAGCTGTCCCTGGCCAGGGGGCTCGGTAGGTTGGAGCATTGTCCCGTATACTGAAAGGTGGCAGCAGGTTCCATCCCTGGTCAGGGCATGTGCAGGAGGCAACTGACCCATGTTTCTCTCTCTCCCTCTCTCTCTCAAATCACTGAAAATGTATCCTCGAGTGAGGATTAAAAAAAATAAAGAATTAATTTGGCTGTAAATCGGATCTCAGCTAATCAGTCATTTGCGATTAGTAGCTGCTACAGACTGGGACTTAGGCTCTCGAGTGTCTGCGCTGTGGCAGGAAGGAAAGTCAAACTGTTATTTGGCTCTTCCAAAGACACTATGGGTTAAATTCTTTCCTTTAAAATGTAAAAATTGTCCTATGGTAAAATGGACTCATTTTAAAATTCGGTATGCAGATCTACACATTCTTAACACATGTCTAGATTGATCAGGATACAGAACATTTTCATCACCCTGAAAAAGTCCCTTGTGCTATCCCTTTGTTGAGACACACCCCCACACTTAAAGGGCCAGTGTACCTAAAGCATGAGAACTTGAATTCCTTCCTTCTCTTTAGGTTTTTATTTCGATACAGAAAAGCCCTTTATAAGGCTTAGGAATCTTTATAAGCCAGTCAGAGCAGAGCTTCTTTAAATTTAAGAGACTCCAATTATTTCATATCCTCCAGAGGTAGGTAAAGATATACCAGTGTGTCTTCCTATTATATATTTTATACTCGCACAACAGAAGGATATTATTAGACTCTGGAGCAAAACTGGGGAGCTTTTGGGGTAGTCCTCTGCAGGGCATACACCATTTTTTTTTTTTTTTTTTGCAGCTGAGCTTCAGGTCAGGTACTTGGTCTGGATACAGAGTCTATAAGATAATCAACACCAGGAGTGCAAGGTTGCATTTTCCCGTTTTGTATGTGCTCTGTTCTGAAACAGTGGCTGAGTCCAGCTGGGGGTTTAGTGGGAGCTCAGTTCCAAGTTTTAAAGGTTTTATTAACACACAGAACTTTCCTCATATGTTAACCTGCCTTGTTCAGAGAAAGGGAAAACAAATTCAGGCACACAGAACCCTTCAGACTCACAGACAAGCAAAGATGTTCAATATTCCCATTCATAATGCCATCCCTGTACATATTAAGGCTTATGTATTTAGTTATGATACATGCTAAGCCAGTCCTTACAAGTTAGAGGGGTTTTTTTGCTCTTCGAGCCATGCAAAACAAGTTTAAATGCTTTAAAACTATCCAAATATTTCGTTCCCTTTAGTGGTAAAACTTTCTGAATTAGACATTTCTGTAGTATGTTAAGATGGCAGATCCCTATACCCAGTAAATCTACTATTTTTCCTCTAGCAAGGTTTTCCTCACTGTGGTGAATTGCGAAAGTGGTCAGACCGTCTTCCTACCCCTGAGTGCATTCCCCTTTGCAATGGGACTTTGTGGCTATTCTCCACTAGAGGAAGAGTCTGTTTCTTATCCTTGAATTTGATGTTGGCCACATGACTTACTTTGGCCAATGGGATATTAGCAAATACTATACAAAAAGAGGCTTAGAAAACATTGATGCATTGGGGCTTTTGGAAGCTTGATGCTCTTAGGAACCCTGTGGCAACCACCACGTGAATGATCTGGGATAACCTGTTGGATGATGACATGTGGTCAGATTGTCCTTGCACACATCACTCTAACCACCAGACATGTGAGTGAGGCCATCTTAGACCGGTAGCCCCGGTTACCTTCAGAGACTGGCTGACTTGGCTCAGACCAGAACAGTGCCCTGGCTGACCCACAGAATCATGAGAAATAAGAGAGGTTTGTTGTTTTAATACGCTGACCTTACACAGCATATTAAATTTCTGCCAGTTTATTATATAGCAAAAATGACTTATATACCCACAAATACAGAGAAAATTGGTAGCAGTTTTCTGCTGTAGGTCAAAAGGAAATGCAGATACATATGGAAGCAACTCCTGAGGGGTAGACATACACAGACATGAAGATGTGAGGATTTCTTCTATAGTCAGACAAAAAGTAATAGGAGTGTTGTGTGATGTGACCCGGGACAACTTTCTCAGCCATGTGCTTGAGACTGGCCTGCAGTCAGAGCGGCCTCGGCCCCCATGACCTATTGTGAAGAAATGGGTCCTTCAGTCACCTGAGATTCTCTGACATCACAGAGCACTGAACAGACAGAGACTGTCTTCTCGGCATGTGCTGGGCGGAGAGGAGTCAGATGGCACTTAGAAATAATTTGGCTCAGCTGGGATGGGAGCTCTTTGATTTTCTTTCTCTTTATTGTCTTTAGAGAGAGAGGAAGGGAGAGGGAGAGAGATAGAAATATTGATGAGAGAGAACATTGATTGGCCGCCTCCTGCATGCCCCTCACTGGGGATTTGGCCACAACTTGGGCATGTGTCCTGACCGGGAATTGAACCAGCGACCTCTTGGTGCATGGGTCGATGCTCAACCTCTGAGCCACACTGGCCGGGCAGAATATAATGTTTTTTTTTTTTTTTTTTTTTTAGGGCACTTTTTGCTTGTTTAAAATGAATCCATGATCTAAGTTCATATTGTGAAATGATTCTGATAAGTTTAGACCAATCTATAATTAACAAATAAACAGCCCACATTATGGATGAGAAGAAAGAAGTAATGACTGGGTAGACTCAGAAACAAAACATTACTTCTATTACCTAAGTAGCAAATGAGATTAGGAAATGCTAACAGGTTTCTAGAACATCAAGAACCAAATTATGATCTTAAAAACTGAGTTGGAAGTGAAATACATTCTCAAGCTTATTTAAACTACGTTCTGTTGTCCCCAGATTACTGTATTGGGTTTGGGGATACCTGAAGGTGTCCTGTGTTTTAGCCTCCCTATTTCTCCTTGCCCATTCCCGTCCCCAAACAGCATTTCATTAATCTTATGCTGTGGTGCTGGCACCTAAAATTCTTTCTAGTAGTCATCTCCTGACCTTACACAACATATTTAAAATCCAGATGGTGCCCTGGCTGGTGTGGCTCAGTGGTCAAAGCATCAGCCCTCACACCAAAAGGTCTCAAGTTCGAGTCTCATTCAAGGGCACATGCTACCTTGTTTTTGGGTTCAATTCCCGGCCCCGGTCAGGGTGTATGCAGGAGGCAACCAATCGATGTGTCTCTCTCACATTGATGTTTCTCTCTCTCTGCCTGCCTCCCCCCTCCCTTCCATTCTCTCTAAAAATCAATGAAAAAAATATCCTTGGGTGGGGAATAAACGGCAACAAAAAATCTAGATGGTACAAAACAAATGCCCTATTTTTACATTATTGCAAATTGCTTTTTTTTTTAATCCTCACCCAGGGCTTTTTTTTTTTTTTTTTTTGCATTTATCTTCAGATAGAGCGGGAGGGAGAGAGGGAGGAAGAGGGAGAGAGAAACATTGATGTGAGAGAGACACATCCAGTGCTTGCCACCCCCACAACCCCAACCAGGGCTGGGGACAAACTGCAACCGAGGTACACGCCCTTAGCGGGAACCGAACCCAGGTCTCTCTGGTCCGCGGCTGATGCTGTAACCGCTGAGCCAAACCAGCCGGGGTATATTGCAAATTGCTTTTTATTATTTTATTTATTTTTTATCCTCACCTGAGGACATTTATTTCTTTGCATTTATCTTCAGATAGAGCAGGAGGGAGAGAGGGAGGAAAAGAGAGAGAGAAACATCGATGTGAGAGAGACACATCAAGTGCTTGCCACCCACACAACCCCAACTGGGTCCGGAGACAAACTGCAATCGAGGTACGTGACCTTAGCAGGAACCGAACCCAGGACTCTCTGGTCCATGGGCCGACACTCCAGCCACTGAGCCAAACTGGCCAGGGCTGCAAATTGCTTTTTAGTTGGATTTGCTATCCAGTTATTTATGGGGGGTTGAGATAGACAGCTGATGCTACTATAGGTCAGGAAGGACAACCACTTCAAGTGACGCAGTACAGCCAGTATCTGGTTGCCAGGGCAGCAGTTTGAGAACCCTGGATCCCAAGAGGGTGAGAGACAAGAAAGGGAAAGCAGATTTCACTATTTTACAGTTTGGCCTAAGACTGATTGTATTTGAATCCATCCTCCTGCACTGCTGAAAGAGGAAATCATGAGATGGAAGAACAGTCTCTCTTGAGTGCCCAATCCACGCAGTTGAATTAAATATAAAACACAAGATTCTGTCTGGCCAGTGTGGCTCAGTGGTTGAGCAGTGACCCATGCACCAAGAGGTCGCCGGTTCGATTCCCAGTCAGGGCACATGCCCAGGTTGTGGGCCAAATCCCCAGTGGGGAGCATGCAGGAGGCGGCCAGTCGATGTTCTTGCTCATCGATGTTTCTATCTCTCTCTCCTTCTCATTTCCTTTCTCTCTAGAATCAATAAAGGAAAAAAAAATTTTTTTTTTTTTAAAAGAAACAAGATTCTAATGTGTTCTAGTGAGTAAAATTAAGTTTATGAATTAGACGTGCTGAGTGCCTGCCTTGTGGATAGCCTTGTGTTGATGGGAAAATACATATTAATAGCAAAAATTTCCCCCCTCTCCTTTCCTCCCTCCCTCCCCCCCCTCCCCCCTTTCCTCCTCTCGTGCCATCTTTGCATTGGCGACGTCAAAGCCGCCAGCAGGCTGCATCTTGAGAGCAAGTTCGCCTGATTTACACAGCGTATTTCAGTCTTCCCTGCGAGTTATGTCACGTAGATAAGGTCAAAGAGTAACTTTCAGGATTTACTTGAGAGTAATAATTTCCACAGACCGAATGTCTAAACCTCATGTAATTATTACAACAATGTCTAGATGGTTTTCAGACACAGCTGTGGTTGCTCTTTTGGCCAGTTAGTCGAGTTTTCACGAATAATTATTTGAATATTTTTCTTCTCATAAGATTTCTCTTTTGAAAACAGATGAAAGAAGAACTTCTTCAACAGCTTGAAAAGGAGTGGCAGTCTAAGCTGGACCAAACTATAAAGGCGATGAAAAAGAAGACCTCGGAGAGTTACAGCCAGACTGACCAAGTAACCACCGTTGAGGTTATTTCCCAGAAGGAGATGGCAATCATGATAAAAGAACAGAAGCAAAAGATCCAGCAAGATTTAGAGCAGGAAAAGGAAATCGCCATCAAGGGGGCCTTGAAGAAACTTGAGGTTGAATTGGAACTCAAATACTGTGAAAACATTGCCAAACAGGTAATAGATTTATTTTAGTAAAAATTATTGGAACTGCTTGTCTATTAACAAAAGCCTGTAAAACGCTGCCCTTGAACTTGTTCATAGCCTTACGCTTGAAACTTTCCGTGCGTTCTAGGGTAGAGCACTCTTACTTGGTTCCTAAACTTGTCTTCACTGTGTTTCTGTTATAAAATTGTTACCCCTGCCCTGGCCGGTTTGGCTCGGTGGTTAGAGCGTCAGCCCGCAGACCAGAGAGACCCGGGTTTGGTCCCGCTAAGGTCACGTACCTCGGTTGCAGTTTGTCCCCGGCCCCGGTTGGGTCGTGTGGGTGGCAACCACTCGATGTGTTCCTTTCACATCAATGTTTCTCTCTCTCTTCTTCCCTCTCTCCCTCCCACTCTATCTGAAGATAAATGCAAAAAAAGGTCCTCGGGTGAAGATTAAAAAATAAAAATAAATAAATAAAAAAACCATTGCCCCTCAATGTTTCTACGTATTCTTTCAGTTTACAAAATTTTTGCTCCTCTCGGGTCACTGAGCATTTAGATACCTGAGGTCAAAGATGGTGGTTTTACAGCTGAATCAAACACAATTTAATGATGACTCTTTCATGTCTAATTTTGTAGAAAATATTCCACTACAATAGTTGTAGGTAAGCAAACTGCAAGCGAATGCGGTCTTCCGCACTATTTGCAGCGAGGTGGTGAGTTGGATCTGCAGGCAGGCCCCTCACATGGGACAGATCCCGTCCCCCGCCCCACAGCGGGGCCGCTGCCTTTCCTTGGACACGTTCAGAAAGCTAGCTCACTGTTAACTGGGGCTGCTCGCTTGCTTTCCAAGAAATGTCCTACTGAGAAAAGTATAGCTGTGTGTTAACAGAATAAAGACGAGCGGTTTGATTTATCTGCGTTACCAGTTACAGTATTTCTTGAATTTTTTGGTCTCGGGTTACCTTACATAGAGCTTTTTAAAGAACAAGACTGCTCCTGCACGTACTGCACTGTCTGTCAGGGCGATGACACCATCACACAGCGCGTTGCCTGGAGAGCGATACTGTTTCCACCTGAGAGAACAGCAGTAAAAAAGACGGGCGATGTCTGAATATTATTACTTTGTTGTTATTAAGGCTCACCCGAAGATATTTTTTCCATTGATTTTTAGAGAGAGTGGAAGGGAGGGAGGGAGAGAGAGAAACATCGATGTGAGAGAGATACGTCTGTTGGTTGCCTCCCACACATGCCCCAACCAGGCTGGGGGTTGAGCCTGCAGCCCAGGTACATGCTCTTGACTGAACATGAAACCCACGACCCTTCAGTCCACGGGCTGATGCTGTAATTGCTGAACCAAACCAGCCAGGGCTCAGCAAGTCTTAGATGCTTGCCTGAATTGATGTGTTACCCTTATTCTTCAGTTACAAACTCATTCTTGATAGCAGGAAGATTTGCCTGGTAGAAGGCTCTAAATTGTATTGATGCTTGCATGCGGGCATACATGTGTGGGAGTGCGTGTGGGAGGGGCATGAGGACTGAGGAGGTGGTGGGGTACTGATTGAACAGCAGCTGGCCCCTAGCCCCTCCTGCATGCCATCTGCTTTCCCCCAACACAGATAGGGAAATGGCAGCTAGTACTTGTATAAAGCTCTTTAAAATAGTCCTGGCCATCAAACATTCATCCATCTCACTTCCTGCTGTGGCATCTGCACGGGACAGTATGGGAGGTTTAGACGGAAGGGTTAGACTCCACTGGTTGGGGTGAGGTGAGGTACTTGAAGTCAGTTTTAACTGTGATGTAGTACACTGCACTGTGAAAGACATATGACACTGTAGTTGCTATTTGCAAATGGGATTCTTGTGAAATTTTTTACCTTTCTCTTGCAATTTCCTCCAGGTAGAAACAGCTGTGCAAAATGCTCGCCGTCGATGGCTGGAAGAACTGCCTGAGCTCTCCGAGTATAAAGCACATGTCAGAGCAGAGCAGAGGAGGTGGGAAGAACAACAAGAGACCTCTGTGGCCAAGCGGGTAAGGGTGCTCCCGGGAAGGAGCTTCGGGAGGGCCTCCCTGCCCCTTCTCCCAGCTCAGTGCTGGGATGGGCGCCGCTCACAGGGTTGTTGAAGGATTACATATGAGAGTGCTCATAAAGGGTTAGCTCAGAGCCGAGCTAGTGGGACCTGTTCTCATCGTCTCCAGGTGGCTGAGGGAGAGAGAATGTACTTTAGGGTCTTGAAACTCACACAATCCGGAAGATAACCTTACCTGTGAAATGAAATTTCATTCTGTCTTGCCAGATCTTCAGGAGAAATTCAGGACAGGTATTTGTTAGCTGTGCAGTGTCCTTTCACATGCTTAAAGATTGTTTTGTGGGGTGAAGTCGTCGTATAACAGAGCCTCCTTGGTGAATAGCCAGCCCAGCTCGCTTTTCCGGCGATGACACGTTCCTTCACTGTCATCGTTCGTATTCTCCCAACTTAATTTGCAAGTGTAAATTAATCTTCAAAATACCATCAACTGAACATGGTTTGAAATTTGACACAGTGATTCTAAAATTCATTGGGAAACTAAAAGGACTAAAGATTATTTTTGATGTTCTGGAAAAGAAGTAGTAGTCCAGCCCTAACACAGAGTGTATTGGAAAGCAACAATTCAGACAGTGTAGGGTCACAAATATAAAATTCTTTTCCAATCTGTAAAATGCAATGTCAGAGTTAGGCCCAACTAAGAGTAAATTATTTTAAAATAACAGAATGATAAGTAATATTATAAAATATACTCTTTATGATAGCCAAATAACACTTTGGAAAATTTAAGTTTACCCATGCTCTGCCTCACCATAAAAGCTAGGTTGATTAAGGAGTTTTTTCTTTTCTATTTTTTTTTTAATCCTTACCTGAGGACATACTTAGAGGAAGGGAGAGAGAGAGAGAGAGAGAGAGAAACCTTGATGTGAGAGAGAAACATTGATCTGTTGCCTCTGTATGCTCCCAGACTGGGGATCAAACCCGCAACCCAGGTATGTGCCCTCACCGGGAATCAAACCGGCCACCTTTCAGGGCACGGGGCGATGCTCAAACCATCTGAGCCACTCTGGCTGGGCAAGGAGTGATTTTTAAAAATTAAACAGAATATATCAGATCTATATCATAATAAATTTTGAGACAACAGACACAGTAGCAAAGATAAATAGGATAACATATGTACAAACATTTAAAACATTTTTTATAATAAAAAATAACAAAAGAGCTTGATTTAAAAATAAGGAAAATAAATGAATTAAACATGAGGCATGTTAATACTAAAATATGTTAAGAGAAACAAGCATCTATAAATAAATGTGCCAAAAATACGAACAGATAATCTTCAAGAGAATTCCAAGTAACAAAACCAATGGAAAGACATTCATAACTACTGGATTGGAAGCATGCAAACAAAGTCAGAGTTAAGGTGTCCTTTTGTGCTGTGTGCACAGATCCTCTCTCCTTACCTGTAATCCTCAGAGCACAATGGATTGCAGTAGCAGCATGTACTATTCTCCCAGTATCGCCAACATGTAGGAAAACAACGTGCATAACAGGCACTATAAACGATTCATATGTTGTATTCATAATCTTATTCCACAAATGAAGGAAATAATCCCACATCGATAAAAATCTCTTTTAACATATTTCTAAGTGACGTGACAGTACCTGGGTGTTTATTACATTATTCTCTATACTTCTTAGTTTGTTGAAATAGTTCACAAGGAATTTAGGAGGGAGAGAGAAGGAGGAAGTAATATGATGGCATCCATATGGGACCCAGAGCTGAGGCGTCAAGAAGAGTAATACAGTTGGGTAGGACATAGGAAATAAGCAAGAGATCATTCCTGAAGAACTCAGAAGGCCCGGATGTGTGCAAATGCAGAAATAAGAAACGAAAGGACAGCGTGTTGCTTCTCAAACCTGAGCCGGCAGACGAATCCCTGGAGGGTTTGTTCAAGCAGATTCCTGGGCTGCACTCCTGGAAATTCTGATCTGGTGGGTCTGGAGCGAGTCCTGAGAACTGGTATTTCTAACAGGCTCTCAGGTGACGTGACACGGCTGGTCTTTGGACCACACGTGGGTGGGAGTCGCACTCTTCTAGATAATTATTCAGCCGTAAAACATAATGTGAACATGTTGGGCATCCATCCTCAAACCACAGGAGGTGGGCACGGGCCCGTTCTGTAGCACTGGCTGGAGCGTTCTCGCAGGATTAGAGTGATCATCAAGTCTGTGGAAATTTAAAGCCAATTTCCAGAGTCCAGAAGTAGTCAGGTTGGTTTGGCGGTTCCCACACTGTGCTGCACATTGGAAAAACTCGAGAATCTGAAAAAAAAATCCTGTTGCCTGGCTCCCACTCCCAGACGTTGTGTTCCAGTCGGTGTGGGGTGCAGCCTGGGCATCCGCATGTCTAAAAGGTGCTCGGGTGAGTGTGATGTGCAGCACAGTCAGGGTCAGTAAATGCTGTCGGATGCTCCTTGTAAAACTTCCTGAGAGACTGTGCACGTTAGTGGGATTGGGCTGGCTGTCCAAGTCCCGGGGGGCCCCCACTGTACCTGTCACCTGGCAGTGAGGCCAGGCATCCATTTCGACATGACTTGTTTTCTCCAAAGCATTCTTTTCTTAATCCTCACCCGAGGATATTTTTCCATTTATCTTCAGATACAGCGGGAGGGAAGGAGAGAGAGAGAGAAACATTGACATGAGACACTTCGATTGATTGCCACCTGCACAACCCCAACCGGGGTCAGGGTGAGCCACAACTGAAGCACGTGCCCTTGGCTTGGAATCGAACCCAGGACTCTTCGGTCCATGGGTGGATGCTCTAACCACTGAGCAAAACTGACCAGGGCATTCTTTAAACATGTTTCATGCATTACTGAACCATTCTGCTGGTAGCAAAAGAATTTTACTGTGAATTCCTTTGTAAAGCTCATCTCAGTGGGTTTCTTCAGTAAACTTAAAATGCAATTCAAAAATTTTTTATTACATGCAACTATTTAGGAGCATATCCTATTAAATAAAGGTTTATAATGTGTTTATAAATCTGTATAGGTGAAGGTGTTTACTATAATTATATAACAGAAAACTTAGTAGATACCCTACTCAACATTCAGAGCATGTATTTAGTATTAATTAATGGCAGTTACCACTGTCTAGGCCAAGCCTTTGGAGGTGCCCAGTTCTTCTTGTCACACTGCTGTATTCTAATGACTTCTTTGGATTCACTCAGGGACTATTAGAAGTAAAAGGGACTCAAGGGCATTATCCAGTCTGCTCGTTATATAGATGAAGACACCAAATGCTGAAGAGATTGATTTTCCCAAGGCTGAGAAGCCAAAAGCAGTGATAACTACAGAACATTATTAAGTCCTTATTATTTGCCATATTCTGGGCTAAGCACTTTAAATGGATGATTCCTTGTCATTTAATCCTAAAATAACTCTGTCAGGTGGGCATGGTAATTATCCCCATTTTATTTTATTATTTACTTTTTAAACCTCACCTGAGGACATGTTTTTTATTTGATTAATTTTAGAGAGAGAGGAACTGGGTGGCAGGGTGGGGGTGAGGGAAACATCAATTGGTTGCCTCTGGTGTGCGCCCTGACCAGGAATCGAACCCGCGTGCTGGGTCTCTGCCCTAACCGGGAATCGAACCTGCGGCCTTTTGGTGTATGGGACAAGGCTCCAACCAACTGAGCTACCTGGTCAGGGCTATTTCCATTTTATTGATGAGGAATCTGAGGCTCAAAGAAGTTGAGGAAAGGGCCCGAGGTCCCACCAGGGCTTGTCTCCAGGCGTCCTCTGAGGGGCACTGCACTGTGCTAGGTGGATCACAGCTGGAGCCCAGGGCTTTTGAGTCCCTATTACTTTTTGGTTACATACTTTTATTTTCTAGATCTACTATTTCTTTCTGTTATAAAAGAAATGTAGATTAAGGGGGAAAATGATCTTTTCTGGTTGCTATTGTCATTTAATGAACTGTTCTAACTACTAAAATTACATCAAAATACAATTATGTGTGTCAGCAATTAATTATACAGGTATATATTATATTCCTAAGTAATAGTAAGGTTTCCTTATGAGGCTGCTTTTGCTTCATGTAAAAGATACTTAATTTGTTTTGGGGGCTTAGATAACCTTTGAGACTGCATCTATATAAGAAAACAGATGGATTTTTTTCTAAAATTAGTTTTGAATCAATTACATATACATATTTTTGGTCAGTTTAAATTTCTAGTTCTTCATCAAGAAACTGATATTCTGTTTTTTTAAATAACATAACATAAAATGTTAGGTGATTTAAAATGAAGGAAAAGATCCTTAAGTATAGTGTAAGTATATTTTAAGAATAAGTTCTAAATTCACTGTTTCCCCTTAATTTTGATTTTAAATCTTTTCTTTTTTTATCCTCATCTGAGGATACGTTTACATCATCATCATCATTATTATTATTATTTTGAGAGAGAGAAAGAGAGAGAGAGAGAGAAGCATTAATATGAGAGAGAAACATCAGTCGGTTGCCTCCCGTATATTCCCCAACCAGGGATCAAACAGAAGCCTGGGCATGTGCCCCGACTGGAAGTGAACCTGCTTTTGGTGAATCCACTTTTTGGTGTATGGGACAGTGCTCCACTCAGCTGAGCCAACTGGCCACGGCTGATTTTAAACCTCTTATTAAGTTCAGAGGTTAACCCAAATAGTTATTTTAGTTAAAAATTTTTTTTATATTAATGAGGAGAATCTTAAAGACTTTCAAATGTACATTGTATCCTTTAGATATTGTTCGCTGTTTCTGAAGCTAAAGAGAAGTGGAAAAGCGAGCTTGAAAATATGAAGAAAACCGTCATGCCTGGAAAGGAACTGGAAGAGAAGATTCATTCTCTTCAGAGAGAGCTGGAGCTGAAGGACCAGGAAGTCCCTGTGGCTGTCAGGGCCGAGCTGGCGAAGGCCCGGAGTGAATGGAACAAAGAGAAGCAAGAAGAGATCCACAGAATCCAAGAACAAAATGAGGAAGATTACAGGCAGTTTTTAGACGACCATCGGAATAAAATCAACGAGGTGCTTGCAGCAGCTAAAGAAGACTTTCTGAAACAAAAAATGGAACTGCTTCTTCAGAAGGAGACGGAGTTACAAGCGTGTCTAGACCAGAGTCGCAGGGAGTGGACTATGCAGGAGGCCAGGCGGATCCAGCTGGAGCTCTGTCAGTATGAGGAAGACATTCTAACCGTCCTTGAACTGCTCTTAAAGGACACCCAGAAGGAGCACGTCAGTGGTTCAGAAGACAAGCGACTTGCAGACCTTGTGTCGACTTGTTCTTCAAAATGGGTGTCTGTGCGGTATTTCGAGAAACTAAAGGCCTGCGTTCAGAAAGCATTTCAAGATATACTCTCCCTCCTTACAGAAAATGCCAACCCACAATGGGAAAAGGTATGTTCCTGAGAAGTGAAAGAGCTATTAAACATCAAGGATGTTTGTACAAGTTGTATATGCTATTTATTCCCTTTCATTTTATAGTTTAATAGATGGAAGACTTGTGTGTTTTTTTTAACCAGTAGTTTAAACTTTTTTGTAGCAAATCCAAGGGATTGCTTTTTTTTTTTTTTTTTGCCCCCAAAACATTACTTCTTGATAGTGCTATAAATACGAGGCAGAGCCTGTAGGCATCTTTTTTTTTCTAAAAAAATATATGCTATTCTTTGTAAGGGCCTGAGATTTCAGAAATGGAATAACTCTCAATCTTATTTTGGTTTTTGGGCATTACCAATTCAAGAAATATGCATCATATTAAAGTAGGGTTTCTTTTTTATCCTTACCCAAGGACATTTTTGCATTTATCCTCAGATAGAGTGGAGGGAGAGAGGGAAGAAGAGAGAGAGAGAAACATTGACTGGTTGCTACCCACAGGACCCCAACCGGGGCCGGGGACAAACAGCAACCGAGGTACATGCCGCTAGCCTAGCGGAAACTGAACCCAGGACTCTCCAGTCTGCGGGCTGACGCTCTAACCGCTGAGCCAAACCGGCCAGGGCTAAAGTAGGGTTTCTTAAGAGCTTCTAAAGAGTTTAGAAACCCATTTCTTGCCCTCAAGGAACCTATATATCATGTAGGCCAAAAAAAAATGCCATCTTGCCCTGGCCGGTTTGGCTCAGCGGTTAGAGCGTCAGCCTGTGGTCCAGAGAGACCCGGGTTCAGTTCCTGCTAAGGGCACGTACCTGGGTTGTAGTTTGTCCCCGGCCCTGGTTGAGTCGTGCAGGTGACAGCCACTCTATGCGATCTTTCTCTCTCTCTCTTTCTCTCTCTCTTCCCCCCCTCCCCCGCACTCTATCTGAACAAAAAAAAAAAAAGGAAAAATGTCCTTGGGTAAGGATAAAAAAAAAAATATGCCATCTTATACAAAGAATATTGATGTAGAAAGAAGCAAATAGAGGTGTGGCTCACTCACACAAAACTGAAGCCCCATTATGCAGCTATATATGTGAGTGTGTAATGAATTCATTGTATTCCTTTTGTTGTATTAAATACTTTCTGACACCAACTTTTAGTTTGTGTGGAATGGATGATAAAGTCAAAGTCTTGCTCCCTTACTATTGAAGAAATTAGGTATGCATGAAAAATCCAGAATGATATTGTAGGTATTATGATCCAGCCAATTTCAACATTTGGAATTAGAGGAAGAAAAAAAAACACGCCAATATTATAAGGTTTGTCTGATGGAAGAGTTGAGATACGAGTTAATTAAGTAAGAGAGCACGATTAAAGATTTTCAAGGCAAAGATTGAGCATTTGGTATTAATACCTCCTGGAAAGAATTAGAAGCCAGGACAGAAATCTGAGTTCTAGTCTCATATATGGAGATAACTAACTTATTACCTTGGGTAGTCATATAGTATCAGTGGTCGTTAGAAAAAGAAAGTACAATCCCTTGGGTTTTGGTAGGATATACATGATGCAGCTTGGCCCTTTTGCATCCCAGAATCTTAGAGCTGAAGGTACCTGAAAGATCTCTCTGTCCCATCCCATTTAACTCTAGTTGCTATGCTTAATTCTTGATTTCACAAAGATGTTACTACGTAGTAGTTGCTTTCAGTTTAATAATTGGATGAGACTACTTCCCATGAATACTGCTTATAATACTTTATTGAGAATTTTTGGGAAAATAGATAATTAGAATAAGAATTATCTATAAGAGGTTTTAATGATGAGAAGTGATGGGGAAATCATATTATATATGCTTTCAAGCATGCTTTCCTGAAAAAGCAATCTCTGTTACAAAAATCTAGAAAATGTAACACTTTTCTCCTACCATTACTATGTCATCAAACCTGGGGTCTTTTTATAGGGCTTATAATTGTGCAAATAGTATAAGATCATTGTATGACTCAATGTGGCTTACATGTCTATGGAGACAGAATCACGTAATTTGGCTAAGAACTTAGACTTTTGCGACTTTAGTTGGGTGGGATCAGATTCCTTTCCTGAGAAAAGGGTGACTCTGAAACGCCTAATCTGGCATTTGTCATAGAGTAATAACTCGACTCTTGCTCTTTTAAAGCTAACTCATTTCAGAACCTTGAGATAAAGTCATCTTGAGGTGACTATAAATGTGCATTATAGGTGCCATAAATGTGAAGAGCTGTGATTGATGATTTATTAAATTTTTTTTTTAGAACTGTTCACAAAAATTAAAACAGGAGAACTGATCAGAATATGTAAAATGACTCTCATTAAAATAGATGATCAAAAGTTTTTTAAAATGGAAAGAATGAAAGGCATTAAAAATCAAGTATCCAAGGAAATGATATATTAATACACCAGTCCACAGTGGATGAAAAAAAAAGATAGCAGTTAGAATAAAATTTTCAAGTAAACTTAAGAATGTGTATTCTCTCTTTTCTTACCACCAAAGTCAAGTCAAAGCTAACTCAGAAAGACTGCTGCTGCCCCCTTCTTTTAATCTTAGCTTTTCTTCAGTTTTGAGTAGAAACTGGAAAACTGACGGCCCCTGGCCTCACTTTTATCACTCCTTGGGGCCGCAGCCCCCTCCGTGTCCTCTCGAATGCCTAGGAGTTACCTCTTCCCTGGACTGCCAGTCTCTGCTTTCGCTGGGAATCATGGGTAGGTTTCCTGACAGTCAGTTGAAATAGTTTCTCACAATCAAAATCAAGGCTTCTAGAATCAAGCCATATAATGTGTTTTAAGGAATTAAGCGAGACAGCCCTCTCAAGATTACTCTTTGGCATTTAGTAGTTATCCAAAATCTGAAAATATTGCCTTAAAAGCATGTCCCGCCATTCGTTCATTCAGCAGCTACATGGCCTGTAACAGACTAGAATGATGAGTGTGTTCAGTGCATGTTAGTGAAGAACTGGTCTTGTGCGAGATGTTTAACTTAGGTGAGCCTCAGTTTCCCTCTTTAACACTGGACCTCAACTAGCCTTCCTTTCAAAATGGCAGTGCATATTAAAGTATTTAGAAACATAGCATACTACGTCAGTTAAAAAATTTTTTCTTTACTGTTGTTACTTTCAATTCACGGAAGGCAAAGAAAATGTTCTGGATTTTCAAGAACAAGTTTGATTTCACCTACGGTTGGATCACATGAACTATTAAAATATCTTAAATTCATATGTACCTTCTCTCTGTCTCATAGCTGGCCACCAGCCCTCTGCCAGGTAACGTTCTGATTTGGAAAATAGGGTCCTCAGAGACTAGTTTGTAGTAATGACAATATTCACATTAACACCATAAGAAAAATATTGGTGATGGTTTAGGCAAGATTTTTCTTCAGGCAGTGGGTTTTTTGGGTTTTTGTTTTTGCTTTTTTAATATTAGCATGTTTAATAGAGAACTGTGTGAAGATTTTTACAAGGCATCAACTGTGAAGCTAATCTGTTTCAGAGAAACACAGCCAAGGTCTCCAAGGATCCTGCTACAGGTGTCACTGGCCGAGGAGACCCTGGAGCCCTGGTCGCCCTTCCTGCGCCCACGTCTGAACACCACGCTCAGGTCTTGGCCTCACAAGCAGAAGCAGAAGCTGGTAATGGGATTTGATTGCTGGTGATCTTTGTAGCATCCGTAACCACAGGTCCAGAGGGTTGCTTTGAAGATAAAAGGAGAGCAGAGATGTATATTGTTTTCGAGTGAACAAATGTGTAACATTACTCCTACTCAGTGTGTGTCCTCCCCCTAGATTTCTTTTGCATTCAGAAGGCAGGGTTGCTTTGGGCCCACTTACTTCTGTCTTTTCATGGCCTGCCTTCCATTCAGAAGTGATTCCGATTAGGAGGAGAATAATGAGAATTTTAATAGAGCAGTCATGTTCTTATTTTCTGGCTTCATTGAGAAATCAAGGGTTTCACATAAGAGAATTGCCAAATAGTTGAAACTTTTCCATTCAGATTACTGGTTTATTTCCACCATTTTTTGTTGGTAATGTTTCTAAAGTTTATTAGGTGTTTTCTGGTTTATTTATGGGTTTCTCTAGAGCAGGGGCAGTGTTTTTGTCTCTTACTCCCCAACACATGGCAAAGGGAATGACACATAGTTTGTGGTCCTTGAATACTTGATGAATTAATAGTTGAACTCTTCCTTAATGCCGTAGAGTTATCATTGTGAGAAAGGACTATTGTGCTGTGCTCACTGAGGAATATCGGGCTTACATTCCCGCTCCCTGAGATTCTGAGCTAGGCGTTGGCATGTCTTTTATTAGCTCTCATCCCTTATAGGATATTGACCCCTTGCAGCCTGCTCCCTGCTCCCACACAAACACATGTACACTCTTTCTGTTTGTAACCTGAAAAGAACTAAGAATTGCCCGAGCAAATCATATGTACTAAGCCAATAATCTTAGTTTCCACACATTTCTAATTCAGTAGATAATATCACCAGGATCTTAGAGAACGTTCTCTCTGCCTTTCCTAAGAAGTCAGTCGACAGTTCTTTTTTTTTTTTTTCATTACTTCTAGGTTCTATCTGGATGGTTGAAAATATCTAATTGCTAATTACATGCATGGTAATACCACCTTAATTTGCATCTTGCTTTTCAATGTCATTTTATGTCTGTTTTTATATTTGGAATAGCCTGAGAATTGTATTTTATTTTGTAAAATGGGTAGTTTTAGATGACATTTGGCTTTGGGAACTCCTGTTGATATGAAAGAAATTAATTTTGAACTAAGTCAAATCAGACTATAAAATAATTTATTTTTCTTTCTTCAGTCTTTTTCCCCCCTAAAGACAAACACATTAACAAATTCATTAGAAAGGATTAAATAATCCAAAAATATATAGTAAGAGATGAAGTCTTTTACAATCCTCCTACAAGGGAGCAGCACTGCTGGCTGTCTGGTTATAGTCTTCTAATATATCATCATTTTAAAAAGTAGTTTAAACATAGCCCTGACCAGTTTGGCTCAGCGGTTAGAGCGTCGGCCCATAGACCAGGGAGTCCCGGGTTCAGTTCCCGCTAAGGGCACATACCTCGGTTGCAGTTTGTCCCCGGCCCTGGTTGGGGTCGTGTGGGTGGCAACCACTCGATGTGTCTGTCTCTCATCGATGTTTCCCTCTCTCTCGCTTCCTCCCTCTCTCCCTCCTGCTCTATATGAAGATAAATGCAAAAAAATATGTCCTCGGGTGGGGATTAAAAAAAAAGTAATTTAAACATTAATTATGAAATACGTGACACGTGCAAAAAACACATGTAATGCTCATGTAAGTTGTGAAGGCTAACAACCAGGAACCCACGATCAGACTTAAGAGACAGAACATCACCAATACTGTTAAAGACTGCTGTGTTTAACTGCTATTTCATTCCTGTACCTTCCTCACAACCTGAGGAAACAAATATTCTGATTTTTAAAAATTATTCTCTTGCTTTTTTTAAAAAATGTTTTCATCAAGTATAGGTATAGGTATCTTTAAAAAGCTGGTGCTTTATTTAGTGTCTTTTAACATTGTAAAAATGGTTTAATACTCATTGTAGTCTTTGTAACTTGCCTTTTCTACTAAATGTCAAGCTTCTGAGATTTGTCAGTGTTAATGCATTTAGTTCTAGTTCATTCATTTTCATACAGTATGAAAATGCTGTATAGTATTTCATTGTGTGAATATTCAATAATTTATCTATTTTATTGTTAATGGGCATTTGCCTAGTTTTTAGTTTTATAACATATATTAAATGAAAAATACAAATGCAGTGTATGGTACCAAAGTGATGCTTTATTAATCCTTCAATGCTCATGAACATAAATGGTACCATTTAAATGAAACTAAAAAGTCAGGAGAGAGCTAAGAAAAATGTTGCTGGACCAGTGATTTAAATTTTTGTTTTACCTTCATCCGGGGACATTTTTTTGTTTTTTATTCAGATAGAGTGGGAGGAAAAGGGAGGAAGAGAGAGAGCGAGAGAGAGAAACATCGACGTGAAAGGGACACATCGAATGGTTGCCACCTGCACGACCCAACCAAGGTCAGGGACAAACTGCAACCGAGGTATATGCCCTTAGCGGGAACCAAACCCGGGTCTCTCTGAACCGCAGGCTGACGCTCCAATTGCTGAGCCAAACCAGCCAGGGCTGGACCAATGATTTTACATCAACATACTGGATATTGGCTTCTGAGCCTGTGCCAATTTGTATTTCTACTTTATTAAATGAATTGTATTAATAATATCTGCTTTTTAAAAAAAATTTTCACCTGAGGATATTTTTCTATTTATCTTCAGATAGAGTGGGAGGGAGGGAGAGAGAGAAACATCCATGTGAGAGAGACACATCCACTGGTTGCCTCCCACAAAACCCCAACCAGGGCTGGGGACGAACTGCAACCAAGGTACATGCCCTTGACTGAAATCGAACCCGGCACTCTTTGGTCTGTTGGCCGATGCTGAGCCAAAACGGCCAGGGCATAATCTGCTTTTTGTATCATTTTTATATATTACTTAAATGTTATAATTACTAATAGCAACAGATATTTTTTATTGTATAGTGTATATTTATTGTATACTTGCTCTGTACCAGGTACTATGCCAAATAATTTTTGTACATTTATACTCCCTGACAGTTTTCAATCATTTTTTTAAATTTGGAGATCATTTTAGACTTATAGAAAAGTTGCAAAAATAAAAACAGTTGCAAAGAACACTCATATATCCTTTACCTAGATAAACCTATTGATAACATTTTACCCCATTTGTGCTCTTCTATGTGGGTGTGTATGGGATGGGAATATTTAACTGTTCCTGAACCATTTGTGGGTAAGTTATACACATTGTGCCCTTTACCCCTAAATACTTCAGTGTGTATTTTCCAAAAAAAAAAAAAAAAAAAAATGTTTCTTGTATAACTTAGTATAGTAAATTTAATATTAGATGGAAATATTGTATCAATCCATTGTTTATATCTTGTCAGTTGACTCACTGATGTCTTTTTATAGCATTTCCCCCTCTAGTACAGGACTGTATCCAGGGTCAGGCATTACATTTAGATGTCATGTCTCTTTAGTCTTCTTTAATCTATAATATTAGAATATTTCCATAACCTCTCTTTGCCTTTTATGACATTGACATTTCTGAGAGACATATTCTCCACTCTCTTCAACAAATAACCCCCCCCCCCCCCCGATCCCCAAAGGCTTTTAACAGAACTTTCTTCATTTGGTCTTATCTGATGTTTCTTCATGATTAGATTCAGCTGTGTTTTCTTGGCTGGAACACTGCATAGGCGATGTTATCACATCGGGACTGCGTGATGTCTTTTATTGGTGGGGTTCATTCGAGCACCTGATCAGGGTCCTGTTCAGTTATCTTCTCTGGGACATCTCCCTACCCCCTTGCAACTAATAAGCAGTCTGTGGGGAGACACTTTTAAGATCATGAAAATATTCTTCTCCTTATATTTAGCAATCATTGATGATACTTACCTTTACTGTAGTGGTTGCAAAATTATACTTTTTCCAATTCCAGGTCTCCCTCTACTCTTACCAGCTGATACTTGGCATGTTGTTATAATCATGAATCCTCCCCTCCAGTTTGTCTTATTTATCTATCTGCTTATGTATCTGTCCATCTTTTTACCAACTAGCCTACCCATCCATCCATCCGTCCGTCCATCCGTCCATCCGTCAATCCATCCACCATCCCATTATTAGTAGGATTACTGGTATAACTCATTAATTCCTATTTTAAAAAATATTTTGTAATTTATTACTATATTTAATTCGTGTTCAAATTGTCCCAGATTCAGCTAGTGGAGCCTCTTCAAACTGGCTCCTGTGTCCTCATGACATGCCTGTATATTTTAGCAATTTCTTGCTTTCTGAAATAGCAAAGTATGCAGCCTTGTCTTGTGTATACCCTGTTGCAGTACTGGAGCCAGCCATTTCTAGAAGATCCCAGGTTCCTTTTAGTAGGAAATGGTATTTGGTACTAAAGTCTGACCATTATTTTTCATGACAATTTAAAATAGATGGTTTTATTCAATGTTACAAATTAAAATACTAAGTCTCAGAGAGGTTAAGTAATACACTTCGAGTCACAGCCAGTAAATAGTGGAAATAGGATTTAAACCCAGGTCTCTCTCTTAAGCATCATACTTTTCCAGTTATACTGTAGCCTTTAGTTATGTCATTTCGTCTCCCTTTTCCTTCCTTCCTTCCTTTCTTCCTTCCAGTTCTTAGTCTAAAGATATGCTACCATTTACTTTTTTGCAGATAAGAGAAAGATCCCTGAAATTGAAGATTCATGCTGTGGACGTGGCTTCCAAGAACTTGAAAAGGCAAAGCAGGAATGTCAAGATCTGAAAAGAAAACTGGAGACGTGCTGTAGGAACCTTCAGCACTTAGAACGGAAGCACAAAGCTGTAGTGGAAAAAATCGGAGGTCAGATTTGAGGTCGCACGACCACCAGTATAACTCTCTTTGATCCTGTTGAAATGTTCAAATGTGACATTTTCGTTTATGTAGGCTCTGATTTTCTTTGGGGGTTAATGTCAACTAACGTGGACCTTCTTTTTACTAACCAAATGATTACTAAACTCAAAAGAGGAACGTTGGAGCTCTGATGAAAAGGTCCCATTCCGTTCTCCCATGTCGATTGAATGGAGATCAAGTGCCCAGTGTGTGTAAAGCGTGTTGTGGGCACTGGGGATGCCGCGGTACGTGCATCAGACACAATTCCAGTTTAGATGGACATGTGCAAGCCTGTGCTTTTCCTTCAAGAAGCTTCTGATCAAGTGAAGAGAACTAAAAGCAGGTTAATACATGATTGCAGCATTGATGACCGCTGGCAGTGTGTTTGTGTAAGCTTGGAAGAAAAAGTGTTAATGAACACTTCCTCGGAGTTCAGGAAGGCTTGGCTAAGCCTTGGAAGGTGAAGGTCTGTGCCAAAGAGAACAGCATTCTAGGCTTAGGGAAAGGACGTGGACAAGCGAATGGGTCTGACCTGGCCCCCCAGTCCAGTTAGTGTTTTCAGGGAATCGCTGGGCTCATGAGGGCGCACCCTCTCACCTTCTCTGTTCACTGGCATCCCCTGCTCTGTCCTCTTCACGTTCGAAAGAGTTCCGGTTCCTGAACTGGCTGGGAATTTCCTTTCACGGCTGGATCTTCTCTGTGATGTTGTCACTCTGTGCTGCCTGTACCCTCATTCTTCCTGGCCTCACTCTTCTTCGTGCTCTAGGACGCAGCTGGGAAGCTGCCTTCTCGGCGGAGCGCTCCTTGGTGTTCCGCACCGGGGTTCGGTGGGCCCTCCTGTGTGGCCCATAGCCCTTGGCCCCGCTGTCACCAGTCTGTTTAATTTGGTGGTTGCTTGCCTGATACTCTTTCCAACCTCCAAGTCCCCCAAGGATAATGTTTTGTCTTGTTCACCCTTGTGATGGTGCCCACTGTGTACCAGACAATGGTAAATGTCTGAGTGAACAAAAGACTGAATCCATTGGACCCAAATAATTGCATCATCTATAAAAGACCAGGTGGATAGTTTTACTTTTTCCCCTACATTCCCCTCTTGCCTGGGCAACAACAGTCACTGTCAGAGTCTTTCTGTGTCCAGCCTTGCCCCTCCCATCTCTTCTCCATCAGGCGCTTAGAGCAACCTTTTCAAAAGGTAAATCGGACCATCACACTCTCTCGTTAAAGCCCTTCAGGGGCCAGATGTGGTCCTCAGTATGAAATACGAATACTTAATTGAAAGGAGTCTAAAAAGTCCTTCAGGAGGCAGCATCTGCCAACTCTTCTGGCCTGTCTTTCCCCAGCCCTCTTGCCCTTTCACAGAGCCCTGGCATGGATCTCATTGTCTTTTCCCCCTGGTCTTTGCGTTCCCACCCTTTACCAAAACATCAGTCCTCCCATCCTGGTCACGTCGTTTTCCGAACTCCTCTCCTCTGCCCCTCAGTGCACTGCTTCCTCAGGGAAGTCATCCCAGCCGCCCCAGACTGGATTAGGTTCTCCGGTTAGACCTCCCCCCACCGCCTGTGATTCATCTTCTTTGCAAGTATTGGTCGCCTGGAATCTCCTTGGTAGTGGACTTGGTGTTGCCGAGGACCAGGTCCTGTCCCAGCACTTGCACAGTGTCTGGCATCACAGCACAGTCTATCAGCCCTGTTGACTAAGAGAAGCTGTCTGCTTCCACCTGCTGCCTGCTGAGCCTATTACAGATACATACTAATTAAGGCAAAAAGGGTTGTGGAATTTGGGGGGAATATTTTTTAACAATTGCAATTCCCATAGTGGTTGCCTACCTGTTTAGTTCATCTGTCCTACTGTAGATGTGGATACAATGTAGCTACTGTAAAATTAGATGAAAGCCAAAAATATAATATGTAATAAAATGATGGGCAGTTGGATGCAATTGTTATTTATAAATAATATTTAGCACCATTCATTGTGATCATAAAATCATTCTACATAGTGCTTTTTGAGGCTGATACCTTCTGTAATTTGTGGACTTAGAAGTAATCCAAGAAAGATGGTACTTAGCTCATATCAGTGGGCTGATAAAAGGGATCAGGGCCAGAATTGAAGTCATTTGATAGTTTAATTTCAGTATTTGTCTTAATGTAAATCTGTTGATAATGTTTTTGCTAGTGTGGTTGCTTCCTTTTTTTTTCTTCTTAAATTCCCTTTCCACTGTTTTGGTAGCATTTATTGGAAAGCGATAGGATAAGAATAAGTGGTTTAAAAGTATCCACGTTAACATCAGTCACTAGGGGGAATAGAGTGAGTCATTCCCCTGTTTATGGGGTGTGGAAAGGGTTCTGAGTAGGATCCATGAGGTGCCATGTTCATACTGACTGTGCAGTGGTGTTGCCAGGCCTTGTATAAGGTGCTGTGCATTTATTGTTTTATCTCTGTTATAATCTTCAAAGTAGTAATGCTATCCCCCTTTTTCATATGAAAAAACTCAGATTCAGATAGTTTATGTAATTTGCCTAAGGCCATCCAACTGGTAAGAAGCAGAGCTAGCCACGTCTCTGACTCTGGAATGTATGCACTCCGTCCGTTTCTTCCTCTTTTCAGAAGTTCAAAGGGTGGAAAAATCTTACCCTGATTCTGAAAATGGCCCTTACTTCAGCTTAATGTAAAAACATTTTTGTATTGCAGTGCTGTTCAATGATCATTTACATGACCATTAGACTATACCAGGACCCATGGGGAACCGGGGATTAGAAAACCTAGTGGTTTCTCCACAGATTCAGTCTAGCTGGGAAACAAAACACAAGCATCTGAAACAGTTGGAAACCATTCCAGAAGAGTAACTCAAAGCGAGATGAACGTGAAGTGTGGATTTTGCGTGCTGAGCGGGGAGTGGTGGTCAGATTGGGTTCGTCAGGCACTGAGTGGCACAGGGGACAACTGGAAAGTCTGCAGTTATCTCTGTAAATTTTGGATTGGGAACCTAAGAACATGGGAGGCTGAGGAAAAAAAGAGGTTAATAAATCAACACACCATAAACTTTTTTTTTTAGAAGAGAACAGTAAAGTTGTTGAAGAATTAATAGAAGAAAACAATGATATGAAGAGTAAATTGGAAGAACTGAGAACACTTTGTAACATTCCAACAAGGTATACCTTTACTATTTGATTTTTTTAAAAGGTTTTATTTATTAATTTGTTTTTGTTACAGATGTTTCTCATTTTTCCCCATTGACCCCCCCCTCCCGCCTCATCCCCAGCTTTATTGTCTAGGTTCATTGGTCATGCATATATGCATGTGGTTTATCTCTTCCCCTACAAACCCCCCTCCTCAGATGCTTGTCAGCCTGTACCCCACCTCCATGTCTCTGGGTTAATTTTGTTAATTTAGTTCATTATATTCCATAAATAAGTGAGATCATGTGGTATTTCTTTCTCTGCTTGGCTTGTTTCACTTAGGATCTCCAGGTCCTTCCATGCCATCTCAAAGGATAAGAGATCTTTCTTTCTTACAGCTGCATAGTACTCCATTGTGTACATGTACCACAGCTTTTTAATCCACTCATCTACTGATGGATACTTGGGTTGTTTCCAGATCTTAGCTATTGTAAATAGTGCTGCTATGAACATAGGGGTACATATATTCTTTCTGATTGGTGTTTCAGGCTTCTTAGGGTATATTCCTAGAAGTGGGATCACTGGGTCAAATGGTAGTTCAATTTTTAACTTTTTGAGGTAACACCGTAGTGTTTTCCACAGTGACTGCACCAGTCTGCATTCCCACCAGCAGTGTACTAGAGTCCCCTTTTCTCCACACCCTCGCCAACACTTGTTGTTTAATGATTTGTTGATGGCGGCCATTCTGACAGGTGTGAGGTGATACCTCATTGTTGTTTTAATTTGCATCTCTCTGATGATTAGTGATGTTGAGCATTTCTTCATATGTCTCTTAGCCATTTGTATGTCCTGTTTGGAGAGGTGTCTGTTTAGTTCCTCTGCCCATTTTTTAATTGGGTTCTTTGTCTTCCTTTTGTGGAGTTGTATGAGCACTCTATATGTATTGGAAATTAACCCCTTATCTGATATATCATTGGCAATTATGCTCTCCCATACAGTGGGTAGCCTTTCCGTTTTGATGATTGTATCTTTCGCTGTGCAGAAGCTTTTGAGTTTGATGTAGTCCCATGTGTTCATTTTCTCCTTTGTTTCTATTGCCTTAGGTGATGTGTCAGTGAAAATTCTGCTGCCTATGATGTCTGAAATTTTGTTGCCTACATTTTCTTCTAGAATTTTTATGGATTCACGAGTTACATTTAAGTCTTTTATTCATTTTGAGTTTATTTTCGTGTATGGTGTAAGTTGGTGTTCTAGCTTCATATTTTTTATGTAGCTGTCCAATTTTCCCAACACCATTCATTGAAGAGACTGTCTTGACTCCACTGTATGCTCTTGCCACCTTTGTCATATATTAATTGAGCATATTGTCTTGGGTCAATATCTGGGTTCTCTGTTCTGTTCCATTGATCTATCTGCCTGTTCTTGTGCCAGTACCAGGCTGTTTTGATTACAGTGGTTTTGTAATAAACCTGAAATCTGGTAATGTGATTCCTCCTACTTTGTTCTTCTTTTTCAAAATTGCTGTGGCTATTTGGGGTCTTTTTTGTTACCATATAAACTTTTGGAGTGTTTGTTCTAGTTCTGTGAAGTATGTCGTTGGTATTTTGATGGGGATTGCATGGAATCTGTAGATTGCTTTGGGAAGTATGGACATTTTGCTTATTTCTAAGTATCTTTACATTTTTTATATCAATCATGTCAATACTATTATACCAAGAGAATCAGTTATTGTGTTGTTATATATTTCTGTGTTGAATAAAGATGTTTTGGTTAATGATGTACTTCATATATGAAGATTATAATGGAGCTGAAAAATTCCTATTGCTAGTGACTTCATAGCTGTTGAAATGACCTCACTATTCACATATTTGTGGAGATGCTGGTGTCATCAAGTCCACTGAGTTATATAATACTTGGCAATAACTGTGTTACTGTGTCTCTTGAATGCAACGTTTTCTCTTGTGCTTGATTTAACCTCATGTTGTTTTGTGAAGTGACATGAGTACAGGCTTGTAGCCTGGGAGCAGTAGTCTGCACCATCTAGCTGAGGTTTGTCGTAGACGGACCATCTAGGCTTCTGTAAGTGCACGCGATGTTGCTCGCACAATGACAAAGTTGCTTCATGACACATTTTCCAGAACATACCTCAATCACTAAGTGGTGTATGACTGTATGATATAAAGTATAAAAAAGAAGAAAACCTTCCAAAATCTTACCTCTAGGTACCCTCTGTTAGCCTACTGTTTTATATCATTTAAGCCCCTTTATATACACACACCATGTGCACGTTTTAAAAATTGAGAATATTGTATAAGCTATTTTGTAGCCTTTTATTAACATTATAAGATAAACATTTCCCCATCTCATTAGATATTCTATAATAATCTTTTCAGTAGCTGCATGCATTTTTTTTTATCCTCACCCGAGGACACTTTTCCATTTTTTGTACAGATAGAGTGGGAGGGAGAGAGAGGGAAACATCGATGTGAAAGGGACACATCGAGTGGCTGCCACCCGCACGACCAACCAGGGCCGGGGACAAACTGCAACCGAGGCACGTGCCCTTAGCGGGAACCGAACCCGGGTCTCTCCGGACCGCAGGTGGACGCTCTAACCGCTGAGCCAAACCGGCCAGGGCACTGCATGCATTTTTATTGCGTGGATTTACCATGATTTACTTAAGTAATCATGACACTTAAGTTGTTTTCATTTTTCTCCTATTTTAAATATTTTATCATATAATAAAGATTCTCATATATGAATTTTAAAGCACATTTTAGTTTATTTTATTGGCATATTTAGATAGATGTTTTTTTCAGAGGAAGTTTTTCATTTGTATTCCATGTTTTTGCAATCTTTTGTTTGTTTTCAGGTCATTGTCAGAAGGGGCCATTGAAAATGCTTGCCAGCCATACTCTCAGGAGGCCTTGGAAGAACTTCGTGGGCAGTACATCAAAGCAGTGAAAAAAATCAAGCGTAAGTCCCTAAAGAGATGCCTGAGATTTTAAGGTGGTTTGGGCCTTTTTTGTTACTAACAGTAGTAATTTTGGGGGAATTTTTCATACTACCTTGTTCTAGGTTCTTACCAATTTATATAAGAGATCACTGATGCCTTTCCTTATTAAACAGTAGTGGATCTTTTTGCCCAAGTAATATCTTTTAGAAGTGACATGAGGAGAGTTATTTTTATATTGTTGATGACCCTATTTCTTCTTTGGACACTGATATCAAACTAAAACTTTTAAAATCTTAAAATTTAGCTGGTAGCAAGAAACTGTCACATGAGTTTTAAATTAGCATTTTTTTTTCCTACCACAAACTTTTAAGGACCACGTAAAATGGATCTCGTGAGGAGTGCTCTCTTGTTTCTCGTTACTTTGCTACTGGGTTAGATCACAGAACACGATTTGTTTACCAAGCCCGTTGCCGTACTTGGGGGTGCAGCATACCCTGTAGGACATTTCCTCGGTTATGTTTTCCCGTAGAATACCTCCTGGCTCTTAATTATAGTCCTGCATGGAATGTATGTATGCCCCAGAACAATAACCAGTGTTTATATGGAAGAAATGTATATTTACCTCCTAAAATTGCATTCATTTTTAACAAAATGGGCGGAGCGGGTCTCAGGTTCCAAATATAATTGGTAGATCATTGGAATCATGTGTAAATGTTTGAAAAGCCCATTTAGTGTCAATGAAGAGGATTTGCTTCTCAGTTGTTGCTTGTGCTAACAGAGGACCCATTACTATGAGGAAGGCAATTTTTTTTAGCCAATCATTATTAATTGGGAAGTGAAATTTTAAGCACCTTTTCATCCTAATATGATAACTTGGGGTTGTGTGTGTACTTCTAAAATGTACACACAGCAGAAACGAACAACTGTAAACCTATTTTTGCCCCACCCTGTATTTATGTTTCATTTCTTCATGCTTCAGAATGTGACAGCATTTCCTTAGGGAATATGCTGGCTCCTACCAAATGTGGCTGTCGTCATTCTTTTTTTTTTTTTTTTTTTTTTAATCCTCACCCGAGGACATTTTTCCATTTTCTGTTCAGGTAGAGTGGGAGGGAGAGAGAGGAACAGAGAGAGAGAGAGAAACATCGATGTGAAAGGGACACATCGAGTGGCTGCCACCTGCACAACCGACCAGGGCCGGGGACAAACTGCAACCGAGGTACGTGCCCTTAGCGGGAACCGAACCCGGGCCTCTCAGGACCGCAGGCCGACGTTCTAACCGCTGAACCAAACCGGCCAGGGCTGGCTGTCGGCATTCTTAAAGGACTCTTCGACTCCTTTTCCTTTGAGTCTACCCAAATGGTGATCTGAAATATTCCATTTTAATGACCGTGGAAAAGCAAAGTGTTTAAATTATGCCTGTAATAAATCCATCTCTTAGAAAAGTGGTCTCAAATCTGCCTCTCCTGTTCCTGAAGAACGGGTAATAACGGTGCCTCTGCGGGGACCCCCCCCCAGGTGACATGCTTCGGTACATCCGGGAGAGCAAGGAGAGGGCCGCCGAGATGGTCAAAGCCGAGGTGCTGCGCGAGCGGCAGGAAACCACCCGGAAGATGCGCACGTATTATTTGACCTGCCTCCAGCAGATCCTGCAGGATAATGGAAAGCAAGAAAGGTGAGCTCAGTCTGAGCAAACACGGCGTCTTTAGAGGACCCTGGTGGCGAGTTGTTGTTTTCTAAGCATTTTCCTTAATCACGCTATTAACTGATTCCTACACGATCAGCCGCTGGGGGTTAAGAGAGGCTTGAAGGCTGTTCCCCTAATGTTGGCAGAGCTAATAGGAAAACAGAAATCCTGGGGTGAAGGAAATTCACTTTTTCCTTTAAATTATATTAACTTAATGTTCTGGAATTCCCACAGAGCTGAGAAGAAGATTATGAATGCTGCTAGCAAACTTGCTACAATGGCAAAGTTGCTGGAAACGCCTATTGCTAAGAGATCCCAGAGCAAAACTGCAGAGTCAGGTATGTCAAAATGAGTCGCTTGAAGGGGTCTGCTCTCCTTTTTTAAAAAAAGATATTTAATATTTTTAGAAATGAAAAAGAGCAGGAAATGTAGGGAGTGAGAGGTAATTTATTAACTTTTGCATGTTTTTTACTTGAACTGGAAATATACAAAAAGAATGTAGTTTCCGGTTCAAAAGGCAGACTGAGCAAACCTTTGAGCTTCCTGCTGCTGCTTCCACCCCCAGAAATGATAGAAAAGATTATAAACAACAACTGTAAAAGGAGAAAAGGAAGAAGTTATAACCGGGTGTAGAGAAGTTGCATTGACAGACCAGAAGCCCTGAGAAACTCTGAAAGGGAGACTGAGACTGCAGAGGGGAACCTCAGTTCAGACCTGCCAGGAGGTGACCCCCCAAGCAGGGGCAACGTCGAAACTGTCCCACTGTGGAGGTGGTACATGACAGGAGAAGTAAGCCCAGGGGAAGACCACCAGGATAATTAGTTGGTGTTCGAGAGCAGAAGTAACCAGGTGGGGTCCCCCCTTTATTTCTCCTTCTCTCCTTCTCCCAGCCCCAGTGTTGGGGGCTGGGTAAGAGCACAGGGACAACGGGCTGGGAAGCAGGGCAGGGCTCCAGGTGGCCAGCCACACCAAGGTGCGGACTGAGCCTACATGCCCAGAGTACCACCTTTTTTATTTTTTAATTTAAATTTTTTTATCCTCACCTGAGGATATGTGTATTAATTTTAGAGAGGAAGAAAGTGAGGTAGAAAGAAGGAGAGACATTGATGTGAGAAAGAAACATCGATCAGTTGCCTCTCGTATGTGCCCGACTGGGGCTTGAACCCACAACCTAGGTATGTGCCCTGACTGGGAATCGAACCTGCAACCTTTCGGATTATGGGATGACACTCCAACCAACTGAGCCACCTGGCCAGATCCAGGTTTTAGGTTTTTCTGCCCTGCAGCTCATTTCTTCCCTCTCCGTTCCCTACTTCTTTAAACAAACAGCACAAACAGAGCATTCGAGACATTGAAAAGATAAGTACTCACCCAAGAATCACCATGTGTTTAGAGAAAGCAGCACCATGAAAAAAGGCACCAAACTCAAAACAAAAACAGCACTTACACCTAAGGAAATGGAATTCTTAGAACAAACAGCAGGATCTGAGAATGTTAAACATTTAAGAGAATCTTGTAGTGGAAACCAACAATATGCTAAGATTTTTTTACTATTTCAAGGAGAGGATATAGATACTGATAACTCTAGCTATTGCTAGAATAATACAGGTTTAAGTGTGGGTATTGAAATTTAAGGATAACCAACAGAGAAACACAAATAGAGTATGTAACTTTCAAACTGGTAGAGGAAAAACTTGGAAGAAAATGTTTTCAACCTAACAATGTCAAGAAAAGGAAAATACAACTAGAAAGCATGAGTAAGTAGAAAATAATAATTGGTTGAAATACTAGCAATAGCTTAAACTTACTTATTAAGAGACCGCAACGTTCAGTTTAAAAAAATCCAAACATACATCATTTTTACAGGAAGTACATTTAAAATTCAGAATAAAGGGGCAGAGGGTGACGTACCAAGAAAATGCAGTGTTGATATTAGATAAATTATAGGATTAAATACAGCATTAGGTACATTACAGAGTTAGCATTCAAAGGGACCAAAATTCATGATAAAGGAATAGCCTCCCAAGAAGCTGTATACGTGGTTTATTTTTTTCTACATTAAAAACCAGCTTTAGAATATGTAAAGCAAAAGCTGATGAAAACATTGGTAAACTCCACACAGGGGGGATTTTGAACGTTTCTGTGGGGAAATGGGATTTTTGGACTCTGGAAAGCTTTAGGCAGAGATTATTCACGAATCCGCGAGTCTGATATGGGTAAATGTTCTTCAGATAGAGCCCAAAGATTATTTGTGTAAATTTTGGGGTGGTAATGTGAACCTTGGGTAGAAAAGGGCAGTGCTATACAACAAGAAGAGTTTTCTAGATTTGGAGCAATAGTGTGCAAGTGATGTTCTCAGTAGAAGCAAACCCCCTTTTCATGGACTGTGGGGACCAAGGTGCACTGTTCTGCGGGATGATGCCGCTGATTCTGTGCTGCGGCTGCTTTGCCTCTGATCGATTTAATAGCTAATTAAATCAGAGACTCCGATTAGTTTGTGCTGTGTGGGGGCATACGTGTTGGGCCGTGGGGTTCTTCTTATACACTTTCTTCATCAGAAACTCCATATTTGACATCAGAACAGGACTGGAGACATTGCAGTTGGTTCTTAAAATGCTGTAACATCTACTGTAGAAAATAATAGGTCAGGTATGGATAGCCATAATAATGTATCAGATTTCGATAACAAAATTACCTGGTTTTATATAATGGATATATGTAAAAGATGATTTAAAAAATGTTCAGCATTGATGTATTTTAAGAATGATTAAAATAAATCTGCTTTCTTTGGGAATACACAAAAATGTAATATTTTTTTTCCTTTCAATATTAATTTTCTCCTAATTGTATGTTCCCCTAATTTTGTGTTCCCTTGTATGTTGTAGTACTGCCCCTGACCTCAGAGATAACTGGTGTTGAAAGACCACAAAGCAATTATGTGAATCAGACTATGTCATGTCACACGGAAAGCAAAGCAGACAGTGTGAAAACCCTCCCCCAAAGCATGTGCCACGGAGCCCCTAGGAGGAGGGCTGCCTGTGACTTACGCAGGCGGTTGGAGGAGTCGGAGCACGGGGACATCAAGCACGCGGGGCCCAAAGGCTCGCATTTGGACTTTCAGTTTGAGGATAGCAATCGCAAACATCTAGACATTTTGGCAGGAAGTGTTTCTCCGGAGTTTGTTCCTTGCGGAGGTGAAGGGGGCTTTGGTGTGCACAAGAAGAAAGACCTCGTCAGTGATGCCGGCCCGGGATCCTGTCTGCCTGCAGCCGAATACCCCCTTCTTGGGACCTTCGGAAGTAAATCCTCACCTGGAAGTGGCCCTAGTCTTTCCGAGCCCAGATCCACATACATAGCTTGCCGCAGTCCTGACGAAAGACTTGGTTTAAAAGTGTATAAGTGTGTTCCGCTAACAGGAAGTGTAAATGCTGCCTCTGAGCAAAGTGAATGTTTGGGTGTCGACGAAGCTCCCGTCAAGGAAGGGGGGGACCCCCGTGACTCGCTGGGCTGGCATTTCAACTGTGCCCCTCTACCCTGCGGCAGTCACGCAATGCCTTTGTCACGTGGAGAGCCACAGGAAACCCTGGGGACGCCCGCTGAGTCTGATCATCTCAAACAGCTTTTAGCAGCCAGTTGTCTTTCAGATAAAGAGAAAAGTAATAAAAATGGTCAGCTGATGAAATGTCGAAGTGATCACATTCCAGACCTGTCAGAAGAAGCCGTGCATTCCCAGACAGGGAAGATCAGTGTGACTCTGGGACACCCAGCTCATCATAAGGCTGATACGTTGACACCAGAGTTCAAAGAACCGAGCAGTACCGACCCCCCCTCAGTGCCTCGGCAGCCGTCGAGAAAACTAACTGCTCCTCTGTCTAGCCAGCAGGACAGCGGCTTTGATAGCCCCTTTGTGGATCTTCACTAATTGTTGTACAGTATTTTAGAAGAATATATTGACAAGAAAACTGGAAGGGAAGACTTCATACTGAGAAATTGGTGGGCTCTATTTTGAGATGTTTTAATAACATCTATTATACGAGTAAAGTATTCCCATAAAATTACTTGAGATATTAACATTGCCTTAATCTTCCAAAGGCCTGATAGTGTCTGTGTACTCTGTTTCCGTGTGGTATTTATATTTGGTTGCTAAACCACCTATTTTTGTACTTAAAAATTAGCTCTCCGTGCAGTGTTAAATTATTTAATAAACTTGCATATGGTCTATGGAATTGTTATGAATTATTTTGTAACTCATAATATAGAAATTTTAGATTGATATTATGTTTGAAATTCATCCAAGAAAAAAGTAAATTTTGATGATTTGTATGTATGATCGGCCAAATTTAATTTTTTTTTATTCCTCAATCGAGGATATTTTTCTATTTATCATTAGATAGAGTGGGAGGGAGACAGAGAGAGAGAGAGAGGGAGGGAGAGAAACATCGATGTGAAAGAGCCACATCGACTGGTTGCCTCCTGCACAACCGGACCAGGGCCCGGCAACAGAGGTACGTGCCCTTGACCAGAATCGAACCTGTGACTCATTGGTCTGTGGGCCGATGCTCTGTTGAGCCAAACCAGCCAGGGCCCAAATTTAATTTTTGAAATTGGCCATGTTTCATGAGGCTATATACCTACTCTATCTAGACTACTTTTCCTGGAAGTATCTATGCACAGTTTTGATCCTCGCTTTCAATTAGTAGAAAAGAGGTTATGTAAGGATTGCCACAAAATATGTAGCTGTGTCCTGGTATTATTATTTAAAATACTAGCACGCATTTTTTAGTTGACATTCGTGTTATCTTATATCTCCTATGACATCCAGAGACCTCTTTTGTCTCTTTTATGGTTTCATAGTCTTTATTTTACCTAAAATAACTATGTTTAATTAATTTATTTATTTAGAGAGAAACATTGATGTGAGAGGGATACATTGATCGGCTGCCTCCTGCATGCCCCCTACTGGGAATCAAGCCTGCAACCCAGGCATGTGCCCTGACCGGGAATTGAACCGAGACCTCTCAGTCCATGGGACGCCACTCAATCCACTGAGCCACACTGGCCGGGCAAAATACTATTTTTTAAAAATGGAAATGATAAGCCTTATCACATAGCAAAAAAAATGTTTAACTGTTAGATTTTTATATTCATAGTAGAAATTGGCTAAGATGAATGCTGTGGGTTCAAGGTTATCATTCTAAACCATGCAGAAATGCATGACCACCTAAATGCTGTTGTGTTTAGGGGAATTATTTTTCGGATTCTCAGAGATGCATTTGAAAGGTGTATGCAGGTGCTTCTCTCTCACCTCTCACCCTCAGCCATATTATGGACTGTGCACATGTAGGTTGACTCGGTGTATTTTCCACCCAGAACCAGGCCAACGTGAGTGGTGGCAAGATGCATCCTCTTCCCGCTGCAAATCATCTCTGAAAGCAAGAACCCAGAACTGAACCTCTGGGGCTTGGAAAACTGTGCCACTTTAACTGGTGACCAGATATAAAGACGCCTAAAAATGAGCACTGCATGTCAGCGCTTGAGTTGACACGCAGTTAAGAGAAAGGAGCACAGCATCTCTCCAAAGTCGCACTTCTGTTCCTGAGGACACAATGCCCCTTATCTAATGATTTGGCAGGAATTTTGACTCTAGGAAAACTCTTAAACCAGCTGAATTTATGGATCTTTTTGGTGATTAATCATTTTAAGACCTGGATATAACTGCACTGAGAATCTAGCTCGTTGTTCACCTACCTTTTCATTTTTTGTTTGTTTTAAATCCTTGTCAGATATTTAAATCCTCAGCATCAAGGTTGAATTCTGCTATTATGGTGTCCATAATCTCTTTTGATGTTATACCTTCAACCTAATTTTTTTTATATCCACATTTTATTCTAATCAATAGGATTCATGTATTTTATTTCAAACACCTTACACACAACCACCGAGGAAGGTAGGTGTACACTGGTTCTTGTGCAAATAAAGGGACTGTACAGCCAAACCAGCACTAACTACTGGTTTTGCTTCTGAAGGATGATGTCAGAACAGAAAGCAAGTACAAGCTCATGAATGTCATGGTCACACAAGTTTAACTCCATCATGATGTTTGATCTTTTTATGTTGCCGGCTTCTGTTTGCTAATATTATGTTACGGATTTTTATGTGTATGCTCACAAAGGATATTGGCGGTCTCTCGTTTTTCTGTGATAACTTTGTCTTGCTTTGATAAAAGAGTCATACTAGCCCTGACCGGTTTGGCTCAGTAGTTGGAGCATTGGCCCGTGGACCAGAGAGCCCTGGGTTCAGTTCCCGCCAAGGGCACGTACCTCCATTGCAGTTTGTCCCTGGCCCTTGTTGGGGTCATGTGGGTGGCAATCAGTCAATGTGTCTGAGACACATCAATGTTTCTGTCTCTTACTTCCTCCCACTCTATCTGAAGATAAATGCAAAAATGTCTTCAGGTGAGGATTAAAAAAAGGGGGGGGGGGAATACTAGTCTCAGAATGAGTTGGAAAGTTCCCTGCCTCTATTTTATGAAGGAATTTGTATAGAATTGGTTTTATTTCTTCTTTAAATACTCAATAAGTAGTCCGGCCAGTGTGGCTCAGTGGTTGAGCGTTGACCCACGCACCAGGAGGTTGCTGGTTTGATTCCTGGTCAGGACACATGCCCAGGTTGTGGGCCAAATCCCCAGTGGGGGGCATGCAGGAGGTGGCCAATCGATATTCTCTTCCATCGATGTTTCTCTCTCTCTCTCTCCCTCTCCCTTCCTTTCTCTCTAAAATCAATAAAGGAAAAAAACCCAAAAAAACTCGATAGGTAGATCACAAGGTAAAGCAGTCTAGCCTGGGCTTGTGTGTGTATGTGTGCAATTTTTTAAGTAATAAGTGAGTTTTCTCGTCCAGCACTATTCAGATTTTCTATTTCTTCTTTAGTCTTGGTAGTTTGTGTTTTCTGAGTTTGTTCATGTGTCTAAATTGGTGACTTACCTCTTACACTTCTTTTAGTTTCAGTAGAGTTAGTAGTGATGTGCCCCCTTCTATCCTGACTTTGGTATTCTGTCTCATCTTTTTTTCTGAGTCAGTCTAGCTAAAGGTTGATGAATTTTGTTGATTTTTTTTTTCTTCAAAAGAACTTTTGGTTTCTTTGATATTTTTTCTATTTCCTATTTCATTGATTCCCACCCCCTCTGATCTTTATTTCCTTTCTAATACTTGTTTAAGGTTTAATTCACTCTTTGTTCTTAAAGTGGAAGCTTAGATTATTGGTGTGAAACCTTTCTTTTCTAATATGGGTATTTTAACCTCTGAATTCCCCTCTATTTACATCATATCTTATAAATTTTGATATGTTGTATTTTTGTCTTCATTTAGTTCAAAAATATCTTCTGATTTCCCTTGTAATTTATTTTATTACCCATGGGTTATATAGAAATATAGCACTTTATTTCCAAACATTAAGAATTTTCCAGCCCTGGGCAGTTTGGCTCAGCGGTTAGAGCGTCGGCCTGCGGTCCGGAGAGACCTGGGTTCGGTTCCCGCTAAGGGCACGTACTTCGGTTGCAGTTTGTCCCCGGCCCTGGTTGGTCATGCGGGTGGCAGCCACTCAGTGTGTCCCTTCACATCAATGTTTCTCTCTCTCTCTCCCTCCCTCTCTCTCCCTCCCACTCTATCTGTACAAAAAATGGAAAAATATCCTCGGGTGAGGATAAAAAAAAAAAAAGAATTTTCCAAATTTCTTTGTTGTTTATTTTTAATTTTTTGTCTATTTTGAATGATTTAAATCTTTTTACATTTCTTGAGACTTGTTTTATGGCCTGGTATACGGTCTCTCCTGGAGAATGGTCACACCTGGCAAGAATGCATACAGCCTTGTGCTCTTGTTTGATGGAGTATTTTACAATGTCATTTAGGTCAAGTTGGTTGATAACGTTGTTCAAGTCTGCGATAGCCTTGCCGATTTGTGCCGATTTGTTCTGTTAATCATTAAGAATGTGACATTGTAATTTCAACTATAATTGTTAAAATGCCTGTTTCTTCTTTTAAATCTGTCAGTTTTGGCTTTATGTATTTTCATGTATTTTCTGTTTTTACATGTATATACCTTTATATATGTATATACATTTATATAATTTTCTGATGTTTGACCTATTATCATTATGAAATATCTGTCTCTAATAATATTTCTTTAGCTCTCTTATGATTGCTATTTGCATGGCTATATTTTTCTGTCCTTTTTATTTTAACCTATTTGCATCTTTAATTTGAAGTGGATCTCTGGTACACTACATTGTTGGATCTTGCTTTTTATTTATTTTTAATTTTTTGTTAATCCTCACCAGAGGATATTTTTTCATTGATTTTTAGAAAGAGTGGAAAGGAGGGAGGGAGGGAGGGAGAGAGAGAGATCGACATGAGGGAGATACATTGATCGGTTGCTTCCTGCACGACCCTGACTGGGGCCAGGGATCGAAACTGCAACCCAGGTACATACCCTTGACTGAAATCGAACCCGCGACCCTTTGGCAGTGGGCCAATGCTCTGACCTCTGAGCCAAACTGGCCAGGGCTGCATGCTTTTAAAAAATTTAGTCAGCAATCTTTGCTTTTGGATTGGAGTTTTTAGTCTATAAAATTTAATATAATTATGGTTGGATTTTCACCTGTCATTTTGCTAATTTTTTTCTCTGTATCTTATGTCTTTTTTTGTTATTGGATTGGGCCTTTACTGCCTTCTTTTGTGTTAAACAGAAACTTATTAGGGTATTATTTATTCATGGGTTTTTACTATTTTTTAAATAATGTATTGGGCTTTTAAAAATTAAATTTATTGGGTGACATTGGTTAATGAAATTACATAGGTTTGAGGTGTATACTTCTATGATACATCATCTGTATTTTTTTAATTATTTTCTAAGTGGTTGCTCTGGGTGTTACAATAGGCATCTTAATTTACTACAGTCTACTTCAGATTAATGTCGACTAAATTCTGGTAGAATGTACACAACTTTATTCCAGTATTGCTTTATTTTCCCCCTTCCTCTGTGCTGTTATTGTCATATATATTACATCTATGTATTATTGTAATATATAAAACAATGCAGTTGTAATTAATTCTTTATACAATCATGTCTTGTAAGGAATTTAAGAGAAATAAAGAGTATATATACACACATACATATAGTACTTAATATTTACCCACA